AAACAAACCTAACAGGAACAGATTGAACAAAACAACAACAAAACGGCATAAAAAACCACCCACCTTGCAACTATACATATATATATATATATATATGTAGGGTTTGATACGGTCATATGTTTTAATTACTCATCTATTCATGTAGGGATAGGGAGATAGAGGTAAATGGGGGTTTATGTGAAGGGTAATTTAGACCGAAATGCACATGTGTTTGTCAAACACAATTACGTTTATAAAATTGTCTTTGACATTATTCATCTAATTTTTTTTTATAACATAATATTATGGGTTTAATTTCAGTGACACTTCCTTAAATTTGGTCAAATAATATATTAAAATATTTTTTAAAAATTACCATCACTTAGGTCCAAATTTACTTTTCCATTAATGACACCGTTAAAAAAATGTAAAATGTCGTATATACCCTCAATTTTTAAAGGTATTTTAATTTAAAATATCATAAATTTAAAATGTCAAAAATACCCCCTAATAAATATCCATCTCTCCAAACCCTCTTCTTCTTTCTTCACCCACCAGCCACCAAACCAAACATTGTGACAAGGGAAAAAATTGATTGAAGTAACTAGAAATCATAATATTACAGATTATCCAACAAACTACCACAAATATATGTACATAATATATATATAATAAAAAAAATAAAGAGAGAGGAAACCGAAAACATAATTGAATATCAACAATATAATCACAAAGATGAATTACTAGGAGACAAAAAAATAACGCAACAATAAGTCTCAATTATGCACATGAATGATCCACAAATGCTAATGTGTGTGTAACTATTTTTATTTGGTAATCTCAATTCATCTTTCATAAAGGTATATTCTTGAAAATATAAACTTAGAATTAGATCAACCATTCTAAATGAGAAATCCAATATATAGTTATTATAACAAGAAGAGATCATCGGAAACAAAACAAAATACTCACAAAAAGACAATGACTCTAAATTTTTTTGATCGAAACAGCACCAGATCCAATTAGACTCCCAATGAGCGTTGACAATGCCGATTTGTCCTTGAAGCTCGGGTTCTTCACCAACTTCTCAAGCCTCGGCGCGTCTTCACCACCTGATGATCGGCGGTGGACAACGATCGACGATAATGACGATCAAGGAAAACTCCAACAAAGGTGAGGATGGTAGTTGCAGGTTCCAGCTCGTTTGTCTTAAAATGGCACAAAACGCATTAATTTCAATCTGAGTCTGGTCTTTCACGTAATTGTATGGCCTCCACCATAATTTGATATTTCGCTAATTTGTATTGTGAGTGATATGGCATTCTGCTTAAACAGATAACTGCATTATGATGTTCTCCTTCATGTATGGTATTCCATCTGTTATCCATGATCCATCAGCTTGCCAAAAAAAAAAAAAACTAATTATTAATAACCCACTAATTATTAATGTAATAATAGAAGTAGTGAGAGAAGGAGAGAGAGAGGGGTAGAAATGTCTTTTAAAACATTAAACAATCTTTTAGTGTGTCAATACAAAGTCAAATGGGTAATAATGTCTTTTTACAGGCAAAAAGTGTTCTGACACGGCTGAAAAGTAATTTTTAGAGGTGTGAGTGAAAAACGGACCAAACGGATATAATGTGAGTGATAAAATTTTTTTAAAGATGTTTCAATGTGATATTTGATCAAACCTAAAGGAGTGTCAGTGAAATTAACCCTAATTTTATTTGTAATACCAGAAAAATAAGTTGTCTTTTATTAACTTATCCCTTCTTTTTACACTACATCCATTAGTGAAATCTCAAGATTTTTATACACATATGTATATTACTATTAAATGGACAACATGGGGAGTCTCTAAGCAATTTTTATATTAAATATTTATTTTAATATTATTTTATAACTAATAAATTATATATTAAGATACCTATTTATATTAAATATCTAATCTTATTGGTCCCTTCAAGAGTGTCCATCTCAAACTTTTTCAATCACTCAACAGTGATAAAATTTGCTGTGAATGAATTTACTCTTGGTTGATTATTAATGGGAGCCTGGGAGGCGATATCCACTTTTCTACGCTACACTACAATTTTTTTTTTTTCTCTAAAGTAAATGACCAAAAAAAAACCCCTAAACTAATTAATATATCATCTCTTATTTCGTTATACTCTAACTACCCTTTGCACTATAAACTTTCTTTTTTTACCTTCTTTACTTATTTTAATGTTTTTTTTTTTTTAAAAAAAAATTATACTTAATTGATTTTTTTTTTTTTTTTTTTAAGGAGCCTAAAACCAACAGTAATCCATTACAAGCCTCTCTCTCTCTCCCTCTCTCTCTCTACTCTCTACCCAATTTGAAGACAACACAAACTCTCTTTTTCTCCCTTATTATTTTTAATTAAATTTTTAAAGGAGATGATATGATTTCCTTGAATGTGGTCTAAAACATTTTTTTTTTTGCTCTCAAATACACATCCACATTACGATTAGGGTTTTATTTTCAAATATTTCCTCACTTCCATAACTGAAAGGGTAATTTTGATATTCTAATTTATTTATTTATTTATTTATAAAATTAGGGATAAAGTATACTTTCTTTTAAGAATACAGTGTAAATGCATAGAAGTGGAGTGCGGATATCCCCTCCCTTTCTTTTATTGCACTATTTTTTTTGGAAGATGTTAGATTTATGGTATTCTGAATTTTGAATATATATATAATTTTAAAAAATAAGGACATGGATATGTCGGGATAGGTCTATAAAATTATATATATATATATATATATATAGAGAGAGAGAGAGAGAGAGAGAGAGTTGCATATAGGCTGGAATTTTTTGACCCCTTTATTTTCTACGAATATATTGGATAATCGCACCGACATGTTTTTTTAGTGTTTATTAGAGTGTCTAGTGTAATTAATATGATCTTAAAACTATCACTATCTTATTTTTTGTTTTTCTCTTATTTGTTTTGTACGTACTAACATTAGGGGTCATTGATTGATGTAATTGGCTTTTTTTTTTTCTTTTTTTTTTTTTTTTTTTTTTTTTAAATAGAGTTTATATTTGATAACTGTCACTTTGTGCAAACGTACCAAATGCTCTATAAATAAAACTGACTTACAAGGTATTTTTTTTAAAAAAAATAGAGTTTATATTTGATAACTGTCACTCTGTGTAAACATACCAAATGCTCTATAAATAAAACTGACTTACAAGGTATTACAAGTTCTGGTTTTGCGTGATTATGTAGGAGTGGCAAATTTGGATTTGCCTATATGACTCCAACCCAATAAGAAATGCGCGGGTTTGAATCATCTTAAATACGTTCTAATTATAAGTGAGTTGCATAATTAATTTGTTTATTTAATTGTGTCGTTATAAGATTAAAGAGTTCAACTAGTGTAATCCGTTTATACTCATGTAACTCAACGTATCATAATCGCGAATATAATTTGTGTAATCTGTTAGTACTTGTACCCAATAACTTTGAACAGTTTCAACTTAAATCTTGACTACATCTTATAATTTTTACTTAAACATTTGTATTCAAATTACTTAGCTACGGGGTAATTGGTATTTTTTTCTTTGAATATTTAGATTAATTGTGACTCATGTTTTTTCAAGTATTTATTATTTAATTAACTATTAAATGTTCGTTTTGATAAACTAATATTAAATATGTTAATATGTATAACTTATTTAATAATCATGTCAGATTAGTGTTAAGGTCCGACATGAATTTTTCGCTAAGCAAGAGAATCTTCATTATGCATGTTTAGTAAAATATCCTTAGTTCCATACAGTATGATTACGCCCACAGACACTAATTCCCACCCCTAAATGATAGTGATAGAACACCTCCGAGTACTCTACTCCTTATTCTAGAAATTCAATCAAATCACATACCATCTCATCTTTTGTAGTAAATTATGTTGCATTTTAAACGGAAAAAAGAAAAGAAAAAAGAAGTGCAATTAAAACCTGTTCCATTCTACGAGACGCATGTGATTACACACAAAAAGCATTGCAGAATAAGTTAAATTTGCCACGTCATTTCAAATAAGAAGTAGGGTATAAAAATTTTGTTTCTATTACCCATCTTCCTCAAATGTTGAAACTCAATTCATTGTACGCAACTTTCCATTAACTCAATTCATTGTACACAACTTTTAATTCAAGTTAATGTTGTCGAGGAAGTTCATTTCTGTTGCTTTAACCTCATGTGGGAACTCAATTTCTGTTTTTTTAAAAGTAAATTTGTTATTATATTTTCATATATTGATGAGATTGTCCTGTATTCACACTTTTCATTAAAGGCTTGCAATAATTGCAAATAATAGTCTCACACACACTCACACAAAAATCCTCAAAGCTAAAGTATCAAAAAAAATTCCTTATCAAGGAGGAATTTTTTTTTTTTTTTTGCTTATATAAAACCAAAACTTAACCATAGAAGCTTAATCATGATATTTAGAGAAACAATTTAAATCAAAAAAAGAAAAAGAAAAAAAGAATTGTCCTCTATTCACACTTTTGTGGCGTCCAATGCCGTGCAAGAATGAGCTGTATGTCCTTCACCATTTTGTGTCAAAAAGGCCACCACCAAAAATATATTCAGATTATCGTGAAACATATTTCCTACAAAGAACAATAATTGTAGATAAAGAGACAATTGACACACACTCGTACCAAAAATTTGAAGAAAAAACAATAAGACAAGGCCTGTTTGGTATGCTTTTTATTTCTGTTGTTTTTGTTTTTGGACTGCTACAGTGTCGATTTTGACAACAAAAACATATTTGGTACAGCCTTATTTTATTTTACAAAGTACTAAAATATTTCGTGAACAGGGGCCCAAAACCAAAACACCAAAATTTTTGTTTTGACAACTATTCAAGGCCCAAAACTATAAAGTAACTTAACATGGGCCAAAAACGAAACGCCTAAAATATCGGGCCCTAAGCATCTTGAACCTGTGTATATAATGGAGGCTAGAACCCCAATCATGTGCTATGGGACTCATGGCTTTCCATCCACTTTTTTTGCAGTGGCTTCCTCTACTTTTGTTGCTGCTTCCAATTCTCTGCCTCTTCCTTCTTAAGCAGAAAAACACACAGAAGAAAATACCTAATCTTCCTCCGAGACCTCCAACTCTTCCCATCATAGGCAATCTTCACCAAATTGGCGGTAAAGCACCTCATCACTCTCTGTGGAAACTGTCCCAAAAATATGGCCCTATCATGCTCTTAAAACTTGGCCAAGTCCCAACTCTTGTCATCTCTTCCTCTGAAATGGCCAAAGAGGTCTTAAAAACTCACGATCATCAATGTTGCTCTAGGCCTCCCACGGAAGGCTCGAGGAGACTTTCTTACAATTTCTTAGACGTTACCTTCTCTCCCTATAGTGATTACTGGAGTAAAATGCGTAAGATTTGTGTCAGTGAGCTCTTAAGCTCCGCGAGGGTGAGGTCTTATAGGTTGCTGAGGAAACAAGAAATGACTCGGTTCATAAACTTGGTCTCCGAGGCTTCACCAAATGCTATCAATCTCAGCGAAAATGTGTGTTCTTTGATAGGTACAATAGTACGTAGGATTGGTTGTGGCGGGACACAATTTGAATGTGGTAAGCCTGAAGATGCAATTAAAGAAGCCATGACAATGCTGGGGAGTTTCTCAGCCGCGGATTTCTTTCCATCTTTTGGTTGGATTGTGGATGTTCTGACGGGGTTTCATGCGAGGAGGGAGAAGTGCTTCCGTGATTTTGATCAGTTTTTCCAAAGGGTGCTTGACGAGCATCTTGATCCTTCCCGGCCCATTCCCGAGCATGAAGATATTATTGATGTCATGATTCAATTGTCGGAGGATCAAAGCATTGCTGGAGGTCTCACTAAAGACCATATCAAGGCTGTCCTCATGGTAAGGGGCTAATTTCTTCTTCATATATGCATATATATATATATATATCATTCATAAAGACAGTCTGCAGATGCCTCGATTTTGGAGGGCCAGACTTCGACTTCTGCATCTACTAATCTAACTAACCCTTCTTGCCTCGTAGATAGTTTGTCTAGTGGTTCATCGTATAGCATATTAACCTCACACTCTTTTAAGTATTATGTTTTGTGAAATAACTCATCCTTCTCGACATGTTTGTCCATATTTCAGAATGTATTTTTGGGCGGAATAAACACGAGTGCTATTACCATTGTGTGGGCGATGACAGAGCTATCCAGAAACCCGCCAGTGATGAAGAAACTACAAGCTGAAATAAGAACATGCGTCGGAAAGAAGGCAATGGTAGAAGAAAGCGACATTGAAAACCTTCACTACTTGAAATTGGTGGTCAAGGAGACACTGAGGCTACACCCTCCGGCTGTGCTGCTACTACCGCACGAAACAATGGTGCAGTGCAAGATTGGTGGCTACGATGTTCACCCGAAAACAAGGATCCATGTGAATGCGTGGGCAATCAATAGAGACCCCCGAAATTGGAAGGAGCCTGAAGAGTTCATCCCGGAGAGGTTTGAGAATGGTTGCATTGATTTTAAAGGTCAGCATTTCGAGTTTTTGACATTTGGAGCTGGTAGAAGGATCTGCCCAGGCTTGGTAATGGGAACCACAAATGTAGAGTTTGTGCTTGCAAATCTTCTCTACTGCTTTGATTGGGGACTGCCCAGTGGGATGAAGATTGAAGATATTAGCTTGGAAGAGGAAGGCACTTTTACTGTTTATAGAAAATTACCTCTCTACCTTGTGCCCATCAAGCTAGCTGGCTTGGAGGGGTAGCAAGCAGGGTGTTTAGAAAGTGTCATTGCAGTTATTAATTAATAATGGGTATCTGAGCAATCTATATAAATAAGAATTGACTAGATCTAAGCTCTGTTTGTTTGGATGATATATATATATATATATATATATTGGTGTTTGATTGTCATAAAATATTTACGAACAAAAAAATATTAAACTTTAACAAAAATAATTTATCCATCAATTTTCGGTAAGTTATTTTACATGTGTCCGAACTGAAAAAGTAAAAATAAAAGAATATTTTACCTAAAAAAAGAAAACATTTATCAAAAAAATATTTTACATCGAAACAAATAGAGCCCTAATGTGAAAGTTATTCTCTGTGAATTCTTTGCATTCATGGCAACCAAAGGTACCAAATTGATCTAATTATTGACATATCTCTTGAATTAAACCAAGATAATAATTATAACACCTCTTCCAAGACATACAATAACATGAATAGCACATATGATTGAGAAACACAGCAGGATAATCAGCAACAAACATTATACAGATTCAAATATTGAAGAATTCAATTAAAAGAAATACTTTACATAAAAGATGGAAACCCTAGAAAGCTAATTACATCAAAATAACAAGAAGAGTCCATTTCATAGGAATTCAACAAGTAACAACAATCTCTGGTCTATTCTTTGTTGCAACCATCTCTGATTCTCCATTTTGTGCCTTCTCTCCTAACAATTCCAGTACAAAATACAGCAGCAGAACTAGAATGGTTCTTCGAAGACTTCGACCAGTAAACGGCAAGCAGCTTCTGACAGAGACAATTTCTACATTTTCAGTCGGTAGATTCATGGCCTGGACTATCTGTATGCATGTCCATGGAAGAGTCATTGGAATTGAGGAGATTAACATCCCTGTTCTGGTGTTGAGGAAAGTTGGATTCATTGTTCCGGACTCCATTTGAACAGGGTTGAACACCATTATCGTAGTAGCTTCCCTGAGAAATATGATAGTTCTGCAGGCTCCGACGAACAGGGCTCGACAGGGCGTTTGAAAAAACATTATTCTTGGACTGTTGATCACCGTGCTCGGACCGAATCCCTTGCCCATAAGTCGGTGTGCCAGAGGATCCTGATGAGACCAGGAGGCCTGAGTTTAAATGTTGATTCTGGAGTTGCGCTCTGGGTGACGATGATTGCTCCCCTCCATGATAGTCCAGCTCAGCCTGAATAGAGATTAGTAACTTAAAAGAATTCACAAACAGGGAAAAACCGAAGGATTGAACCAACAACAGATGATGCAATGTATACAAAGGCCTTATCAACAAAGGACTTTTGATATTAGAAACCTGCTCCAAACCCTACCTAAATACATGAAATGTGACACTTAAAAATTGGAAATACAATCGGGGAAGAATTAAAGATTTATCATCAAAAAATATCTCAATTAAGAAACATGTTAATAAAATACGCATGATCAAAATTTAGATTTTGAGATGTATGTCTGGAATACAAAGAAATAAAAAAGTATAAATTATTATATTTGTGAAACGATTAAATTTTAGCCCTCATTGGGATAAAATGATTTAAGATCAAAACTGTACGAATAAAAAACAGTTATTCGGTCAATTTCAGATAATGCAAGAATAACAGGTGGAGTAAGATGAAATAGTAAAGAAACATATATGATAGCGTGAGCACGACTTAAATATGCCATTAGGTATAGATGATAAGGGTCAACCTAGGTTGGGACATGTCTTTATTAAGTAGATTATGAGTTACAAAGTTGTGTGATTCCAACAGGAAGCAGAATTAACATGAAAACCAAAAGAAACAAAGACAAAGCCCTCATAGGTGAGGAGAAATCAAGAAATTTTTCATTTGACCCACACCATGGAGGCGGTAAATTCTTTTCATAATGGTGAATGCCCATTCATCAGTACATCTCAACAAAGCCAAGTTCAAACATGCTAGAGTTAACACCACAAAACTTTAGTCAACAGCTCTATAAAAGGCCAGATCTAATAAATCACCGATTACAGGATTCATTTCCTAAGGGGTCTTTTGGTGAAAGGTTATACACTCGCGGTCAACCTTTCTATCTCCAGGCCTGGGTCCTGCTCTACAGGGAATGAGTGAATAGCCCAATTATATAATTTACATAACTTTCACATCTTCCGTGAAGCAAGATCTCCAGAATCAAGATTGTTGCAGATTATAAAGAGATCAAAAACCATAGAAGAGACTAGAGAAATAGGTCAAAAGTATTATGTACAAGTCAAAATCAATTTAAATCTCCAACCTGAGATAGGCCAGAGTTTTAAAATATAATCCCCAATCATTACAATGAAAATTTGGTTCCACAACAATTAGTCTATGGAGACCAAACTGAGTCCCCCCTTCCCAAATCAGCTGCAAAGGTAAAACAACATTTTCATTTGCCAACCTTGAAAGTGTCTCTCCAACCATAGATGTATCCTGATAGGATTACAAGATGGGTAATGTGTACAAGCTCCACTTGACATTTAAAACTTGCTAATTCTCTAATTATCTAAGGCGTATCTACACTCTACGTTTAGGTGAACTATTCAGTAATCTTTTGTAACTAGCAACTTCTTGTAAATAGTTATAAGACCTCTTTAACTAGTTTTCAGTGACGTAAACATAAATGAAACACCTTTATTTCTTTTCGGCAACATAATCCTGCTAGCGAATCCTATAAAGATTGACAGTAACTTGCAGGGCAAACTTAAGAAGAGCATATCTTAAAAGGCTGTCAAATGCATATTAGACTCTAACGCATATCATTCCCAAGGGGAGTCAAAAACATATTGTATTATATATCAAAGAGGACGAAAGTCATGGAGTAAAATGAGGCACAAATCACTATTAGTCGGCAGTAAGAATTACTTACCTAGTCCAAAATATCTACAAATCAGACATCGCCCAAGAAAGATTTGATGCTAAGATTTCAAATTAGCACTTACTGTGACTTAATCAAATCTTGGGTAAAATGCAATTAGTTCAAAAGTATATAAATCAAGACAAACTGGCAGCAAGCCATATCATCAGAAATATGTCAGAGGTGTCTGCTTAGGTACTCGCAGGTAAATAAAAAGAATTACATATCATAAAAAACAGGCTAAGCTATCACGGAGAAAACTGAAACCTGCAGGTAGTTGATCAAGTCAACTGTGGTCACTCTTGATCCTCCTTCTTGTTGTCTCAAAATCCACTGATAAAATTTGTCCTGCATGAGAAATAAACAAATTAATAAATGTAATGATACAGTCCAAACTCGGAGGTCTTAAATTAAATAAGATCATAATGAATAAAATCAAGGTCAAATTCCTGAATATGACAAACTCAAAAGCACCTTCACCTTCTTAGGAAAACCTTTTGGACCACATTAAAATATCTTAGGCCCATTCACACACACACACAAAAGACTCCATAAAACAATAGTATATTCAATATTTCAATGCAATCTGCAAGAGTCCGAACTAGTAGTTAAAACACTGTTAGACGGTAGTTTACATGCAGATTTACCATGCAGCAGTGGAAAAATACAATATGTAACCCCAGCATGCATGGCAAAGCATTCCTAAAATATTGCAGGACAGACACTCTTCCCCACCTGACAACTTGACACCCTCATCATGCCTTATGTTACTCGAAACATGTATCCAAGATCTTAATTATGTTAGCTATGTTGATGCCTTTGTGGACTTGAAGATGCTGAGCGAAATGCATCACCCTGCAATCTTATGTACTAGCGGAAACGGCACATAGCCTCCCATCATCATGATCTTTATGTAAGAACATCACATTGAAATCAAGCACCATCCATTGCCATCATGTCAATGTCTATAAGGTAGCCCTTGCATTTCCAAACTCTCATGAATCCAAGCCCTTACCAACCCATGAATGGTCTCTCATCTGAGTTGGCCTTGAGCCCATATCATCCTCGATTTTCTTGGGGCCCGAATGTCTCACCTCCTCAAAGCTGACAACATTGTAGGTAGCCCCCCACCAAGGCCTGCATAATCGTTCGTATCGTGAACTCTCCAATCTTCATGAACCTCCTTCTACTCATCTATTATCAGATCTTTACATTGAATTAGTATCTTTTAAGGTATTATACTCATTTAATTCATTGTGTAAATAAAAAAATGGTCCTTGCCCACTTGTATCTAAAATTCAAATATTAATATACAATCGCATCAAAATTTGCTACGTAGAGAATGAATTGTCTTCACTTTCTATGCATTAGCCATGCCTGCAATTCTTTTTGATATATATATATATATATATATATGGTCACTACTTATTGATTGACCCTAAACCTAAGGTGCTCGACGGAATGGACTACAATCATGCCCGATATTTTTTGTCTTATTGTAACCGCCCTTACTCTCAACCTCTCATTCTCACACTTTATAGTTCCAGCTTTTACAATTGTATCACGAAAACAACTCCCAATACTGAAACAATTCCTTTGAAATAAATTGTCTCTCTTCAGATTACTTCATTCCACTTTTTTCGTACCCTACTGCAAAGTGAAAATTTTAGAACTTCAAAAACTAATGCCACTTCTATCAACATTGTTAGGTTAAAATTTTCAAATATTCATTCACTCATTTCTTCAGAATGCAACAAAACATATTCAGTTTCAACACAAGTTTTATTCAAACATCTAGTATATGGTTCAAAACAAAGGGCAAAGGTTATATTGAAATTTCTAGTGAATTTGGAAGTAGTATAGGCATTTTACCAACTGAAAAATACGTTATGACAAGAGAAACACACTCCATGTTTCAAAGGATAAGATACCCCAGACCATTCCGACCTTAAGACACAATCCTCGCAATATCCATATAATGGGCAAAAGAATATGCTTGTCTGCATTCTAAGATAAACAATGTTTACGCTTATCCAAAACCTAAGCTCTCTACCACAAAACTGCAATCACTCTATTCTGAAGCACCCAATAAGAGATAGAACCCTTTGAAGTACTTGATACCAAACCTTCTTAGCATCCCAACACTTCCAACATGACATGCCCCAAAGTCTCTATGAGTAAAATGACCCCAAAAAAAAAAATTTGTTTGGTCCAATAAAACCCCAAAAATAAAATTATTATTTAACCAGCAAGTAATTCACTCTGTTTAGAATTTACCCTAACACTAAAAAGCAATAAATAAATAACAATGAACAATATAAATCAGATATCAAGAAATAATATGAATCCTGTAATAATAAATACATAAATAAACAATTAAATAAACAAATCCATTCAAAAGATACGCAATTGATGTCCTTCACTCAAACAAAATGATATATTTCATATCCAAGCGTTCGTGCGTTCGTGCGGGTGGGTGTATTTATATATATATATATATATTGGAAGAAAATAATACCAAACCATGTCGTTCACCGGCTTGAAAGGAGAGTTTTTGCTGGTTCATGGCCTGCGAGTAGAGCTGAGACAGCGAATTCGCGGCGCTGCAAAACGTGGAGTACATCGTTCGATCGACCTCGTCGAGGCTCGTCGCCGCAGATTTCCTCTTCTTCGCCATTCCAGAATTTCCTGCAATTCTCTCCCTCACTCCCCTTAAATCTCTGCCGGAAAGTTAACAACTCAAACTATTCCCCCGCAATTTGTGGGTGATATTTGGGCGAAAAACTGACGCCGACGGTTGACTTGGAATCGGAAGTTGTGATGAATCAGATTTTGCGATGAAGATATGTTGAGAAGAATCAATGAGGGTTTTATATAGTTTTGTAAAACCGAAACTCACTTGGATTTGATGAAATTGAAAGAAGAAGAAAGGAAAACTTGCGTTTGGTTTCAGAGAAAACAGTGGAAAGAAAGGAAACGATTAGGAGGGAAAGGCCGAGTTCGTTGACGTGTACACAACACGTAACGTAAAGTTCGCTCACAAAATTACACGTAAGGTTATTTTGCTATTTTTGTTTTTTTGACAAATTACACTAGCCGCCTCCGCGAAGGTTTGATCAAATTATACAACATTTATCCTTTATTATTTTGACTTCTTGAAATATCTTTCAATCTAATTTAATACGGAGTAATATAAGTCACATAATCCTTTTCAGGTGTTGCTCTCACATTCTACATTTTCGCTCTCATACTTTGCGGGCACTCTGGTTAAAATTATGACTTAATTCTACTGCTCTGACCCGTCCGCTCTCAAATTCGCTCTCACTTTCACTTTATGTGACTTAAAATAATAGTTTAATAAAAAAATTAATCCAAAAGACTCTATTATCCTTTTTTTTTTTTCCCATTTCGTAAACACTACATTACCCTCCCTATATATATATTTATATATATATATAATACACCTAATTAAATGTTATTAACAAAAAAAAATATTTGATTTAATAAAATTTAATAGTATAAAATTGATTTTAAAAAAAAAATTAATACTTTGCATTTTAATGGCATTTCATTTCAAAATATAAGGTCAAACGACAACTTAATTATTTTTTGAATTTTCACTAGCGACAGGGAATGTCATTTAGTACATGCGTTAATTCTCATGAGATTAATAAAGACTAAACGTTTTATTTATGTATAATTTGCCCAAACCTTAAAGAAAATCAGTGTAATTTATCTTCTCTTTTTTTATCTAACATATTATTATTATTATTTGGGATTTGGAATTAGAAAAGGAAAAAAAAAAATGAAAATTAGATTTGAAATAAAATTCCATTTTTGTTTGTGAAATAAGTTAAAATTTAATTACAAATAATTTTTTTATATGATTTTATTCTTTATTAATTATAATTGGAATGTAATGTTTCACTAACATTACATTCCAATTACAAAATCCCATCAAATTCCACTATTTTTTCATGGGATTTGAAAACACAATACTTTGGGATTTCAATTTTACGAGAATAAATTCTATTTTTTAATTCCTTTGATTTCGAACACTAAGAATTCTACTTTTTTCAGCCAAAACTCTTTTTAAAAAATTGTGCAAAATAGCCCTTGCTGTCGAACAGCGTTTAGGTATTCGTTAACTGATGAGGTAAAATTACTAAACTGTTTCTAGCTTGAAAAAATAAGATCCCGGTTCAACTAATAACAGTCAATATGATATTGTTTTGTTGGAAGTTGTTATTGATATTTTATATATTAAATTTATTTCATTCTCTTCAAGTCAATTACTAAAGACACCTTGGCAATTTCACATTGGCAGGAGTACTTTGCACCATTTTAAAAGATGAGGGAGTATTTTGGCTCAAAAAATTGTTTAGGGAGGCTTGTTGAAAAAAAATTAAGAGCTTGGCTGTGTTTGTTAACTTGTGATAAATTACACCGACTTCTCTTAAGGTTTTGACAAACCTCATATAAATAGAGCGTTTAAGATTTATTGTTTTAACCTAAGTTTAAGTGTATGCTCAACAACCCTCTCTCCATTACAATTTGTAAAAAAAAAAAAAAAAAAATTATAAAATGACTAAATTGCCCTTACACTTATTAATTAATTTATTTTTATTTACAAGTTTTTTTTAGTGGAGGGTAACAGTGTTAGAGATGACAGAGAAAGTAACAAAAGAGATGAGATAGAATGATTGATTTTTTTTAGATTTTATAATATTTTTTGTATTATAAAAATATATTACATATAAGAAATTAATTTTTTATAGTCTTAAAGGAGGTCAGAATTCTCGTATAATTTACCCCACCCCACGTCTATGTTGGCCACAGCGACAAAGATGAACAATCTTCAACTTTCAAACCTCAAGAAGATGAGAGATGCCATTAGGAGAGGGGGAGGCAGACACAATTCACCAGCTATATATATAAATATTAGATATATAGAGAGAGAACATCCCAAAGTCCTAACGAAGATCTGGCCGGCGGCAATTGGCTGTCGCGGAGGTGGTCTTGTCAACTTGAGGCTTGCTTTCCTTAATGTCACTTCCGCCAAGCAAGCAAATGTGACTGATGGAGACGGGAAAAAAAAAAAAAAAAATGAATAAAGTACATATTTGAATGCATGATATCTTATGATTGACTGGACTATGTTATACCGAGCAATTTTTTTTTTTTTTTGGTTTTGGGAGGTTGTGGCACAGCAACACAAAAGACTACATATATTATGAAGTATATAAAGAGTTGAAAGTTATTAGTTTTGAGAGATTTTAGCTAAGAGACATGCCGAGTTTAAAGAATATTATGAAAGATAAGAGAGTTTTGTAGATATTTAAGTTTGAGAATTCTATAGCATAACTTCGTAAACATTGATCATTCATGGTAATGCCTATAAATAAGTTAGTATGCAATTTTTACCTTCAAGGTGAGGGCGAGAAGTAATTAGTAGAGCACTCCCCCACCAAGCAATTTATGTTGGTGCATTGGGCTCTATAATTTATAACCGAGTGAAGGAAATAGAATGGTATAATTTATGTTGGTGCATTGGGCTCTATACTCTTCAACCAAATGACAGTCTTCAACCAATAATAGTCTAAGAGTTTATGGGGCAGATTGTAGAGTGTTCTTTCTAAGCATGTGTAACTTTCATTTATTTTTTTATTGGGCTACATAGAATTTTCTTTCACAACAATATGAAAACTGATCAGTAAAGTAGAGGAACACCTCCAAAAGGACACACAGATCTAAGCTACCCTATTTTTGGACAATGACATTCCGTATGAAATTTGCAAGCCCAACACAGCCTAAATCATGTGAAAAGTCTACTTTACCCTACACCGTTTAATTAACTTTAATTATAAAATATCAAAATAATTAAATAACTAAATTACACTTGCCTCCCTCTAAATTACCCTTGCCTCTCTCTTACCACTCTCTCTCTCTCTCTCTCTAAATATATATATATATACAACCACAATAGCCGCAACAACACCCACCACCACAACCGCCGCCACACAATACCCACTACAAACACCGCCGCACCCACAGACCTATATATATATATAGACCATCACCGAATCACCACCACTCTCTTTCAACACCATCCCACCTGAAAATTAACACCCAAAAGCCATACCCAGTTATCAAATTAATTGATTAATTGAAGAAATTCTGTATAGATGTGTGTGTGTGTGTATTTGTAGAGAGAGAGGTTCATAAGTTCCACAATTGTCACACAAGTACACCCTTTCTCTCTCTTATATTCTCGTGGAAATGATATTTGGTGGTGCTGGTGGTGGGCCGAAGAAAAGACAACGAGTCGAAAGAAACAACCGCCTCTCCTCCACCGTCAGCGTTATCAACTCCGCCCGTGCCGACGGAACCCTAATAGAGGCATCCAAAGACCAAAAACCGTCATCCTCCGCCTCTTACATCAACAAACCTTCCTCCTTCGAATTCAACAAGGCCGACTGGCCGAGTCTAGATCCACCTTCGATTCCGTCGACCAGTCCGACGTCCAGATCTACTTCCACTCGGATGTCCTCCAACGATCAAACTACTTCACCGCACTGTTATCGAATCGATGCAGAGAGACTCCGACGACATCGACTCCGAGAGTGGCTGATACTATTGTGAAAGAATGAAGTGATACTGCGGCGGCGACGGGGGTTCAAGGTTTAGTTTTCTGACAAATATTGCTATTGGTGAGGTGATGAATTTGAGTATGGGGGAGATCAGGTTTTCTAGGTTTGCTTTGATTTTTCGGCGAAGATTGCACCCACACACCTATATATATATATACACACACCACCACCACCACCAACCACCACTCTCTTTCAACACCATCCCACCCGAAAATTAACACCCAAAAGCCGTACCCAGTTTTCTTTCTCTATTGGTCTCTGCCAAGAAGAAATTTTTGTTTCTCTGTCGGTGTGTGGTTATGGCTGTGGTTGTGTGTGTAGAGAGAGAGAGAGGGAGGGGGGGGGGGGGGGGGGGGGGGGGGGGGGGAGGCAGAGTTTACTTTAGAGAGAGAGAGAGGCAAGGGTAATTTAGTCATTTAATTATTTTGATATTTTATAATTAAAATTAATTAAACAGGGTAAAGTAGACTTTTCACATGATTTTAGGTTATGTTTGGATTTCAAATCTCATAAGGGGGTCTTATTGTCCAAAAATAAAGTAACTTGTATCTGTGTATCCTTTTGACAAATCTAAAGTGGTATTGTTGTACTTTACCCTAAAGTATATCAGGCCAAAAAAAAAAAAAATCACTTATCATAAAAAATAATCACGAAAGAGAACATGATACTTCTTGGGGAAACTAAATCCTATGCAAAAGAACCTTTTCCCTTAAAAGGGATTTAACATCAAGAATATAAATAGAAGAATACAAATATAGGTGGGAAACTAAAAAGAAACCTGTAAAAAATCCCTGAAATTGCTACCTCATATGCTTAAGATAGTTCTTAGACCTTCTCATCAAGTTCGGAGGATTCTGATAGCTTTTGCTGCTTGCTGCTAGAAAATGAATGGCTCCGACGTTCCTTTCCACCAGGTTTAGAGGAAGCATTTCCATACCAGATCATTCCAACTATAGCTACGACCATGCCTAGGACCACTTGCAGATTAAGACCCTCTTTTCCAAAAAATAAGAACCCCAGAATCAAAACGAGAATTGTTTTCATATGGCCAAGCACTTGGAAGGAAACGGCAGTGAATCTGCCGATGCAAATGAACTGGCTGAGGTTGGTCCCTACTGCTATAGTGCATGAAAGTACTATTAACATCTGCATAGATCAGGAAGTAGACAGAATAGTGAGCAATTTTTTAAAAAAACTGTAGAGGGGGTCAAAAGATCCGCATTTATCCAATGTTAGAAATTAATAATTGCTAAATTTGTTGGTCACACAAGTTCTCAAAAATTATAAGAATGAGCATACATGATTGCTCTTATGGGTTTCTAATCAGGCAAAATTGCAAGATCGCACTAGGCTAATGTAATCTAAGTGAGCAAATTAAGCATAAATTTTATATCAACTCATAGTTTCCTTTGGGATAAGCAGATAACAGAGTGAAAACGGCCCCAAAATCTGGTCAAGCAATGATACTGATTTGTGTTGGTTAGCATCCAAAATAAACACTACTTTATAGGAACAGAACAGGCATATTCAGCATTTCTTGTAGACAATCTCTGAATCAGTTTCATTTACGCTGCTGACAACCTAAGATTTTCTAAATACTTGGCTGACATACCATATGGGTTTTCAACAGGCATATAATTTAGTAACTAAAAGTTGCCAACAAATGCGACAAACGTGTATATGTATGCTCGAGTCCAAAGAAAAATTCTAAACACACCCAGCAAAAGATGGGAGTAGACTGGATCTAAATAAAACTCTTGTGGAATGAATTCCCCCTCCCCCCTCTTCATTTGATGTAGTTAGCTCATACTTAAGAAAGGAAATATACCCCTTTCTTAGCGTCCATCCCAGGGTGAATAAAGCATAATACAACCATTTGCAATAAATTTAAGGTCATTTAAAATAACACATCTGAAGATGCTTGAGGTTTCAAAAGGTGATGTCTCAAAAGGCACTTTGTAGCCATCCATCTAATCATCATCTCAAAGGAGACAACTGGGTTTTAAGAATAAGAAAATCTACCTCCACAAAATTTTTATCAATTGTACATGATTTCCTTTCAAGGATCAAAAAAAAAAAAAAAAAAAAAAAAGAAGGTTCCATCTTCACCATTCTTCCCTTGAGCTTCATTTGTTTAAGTAAGAGGGAAAGAAAGGAGAGAACGATATTAGTTAAGAAGGAAAGGAATGATAGTTTTTACTTATTAAAAAAGAAAAATGATAGTTTGACAACTCTTTATATTTGGATAACTTAAGAAAGAAAATAAAAAGATAGTAATAACCTTTCTTGTGTTTGGAAAAAAGCTTGGAGAGAAAAGAAAAGAAATGCTTGTTTTATCTAGTGAATTATAAAGGGTAAAATGGGAATTCACCTGTTATAAAAAAATAGGGATAAAACGGGTAATTACTAACTCTCCTATCCTTTCATTTCACTTCCTATCCCTCCTCCTTCCAAATTCTTCCCTATCCCTCTACTTTTTAAAAACAAACAAGTTTAGATTTCCCTCCAAATCATTCCCTTTCTTCCTCCCGTTTCCATCAATCCAAACAGGCCCTTAGAGTAACGTACACAACTAAATGATGAAAAAAATAAATAGTTGGTGTTCATGCATAAAGAGCTATGTTTATACGGATGCTGAAATTTTAATTCTCCAGGGGTTTACATTAAGGTGGTAAGAGACTTGGACATGCTAAAAATAACTAATGTACAGAGTTCAATAAAAATATGAAATTAACAAATATTTCATGTGATCATAAAGTTTACTTCCCCAATGTGCAAGGCCCATAAGAGATGCCAGTTGAAACTTCATAGTGAGAAGGGTGGGTGTGTGTGTTGGGGGGGGGGGGGGGGGGGGGGGGGGGGGGGGGGGTACTCCGTTGTCATAATAAGTTCAAATTATTTTTTCCTGCATGGGATACAGAACCCTTAAAATGTCCAGTCACAGCTGATACAAAAATATCGCACATAAGAACAATGGGTAGTCCATACAATAAATTGTATTGTCTAAAGCATAAAAGCAGTGCACATTCTTCATAATCCAATGGCTCATTTTTCTTTCTTCTTTTCTTTTACTTTCAAACATAAAGAAGACGGGGAAATATACCATTCATAATATAAAATCTGAATATCATAAAATCAGACCACTGTAGAGGACACCGAACAATGCATGTTAGCAAATTGACTTAAATTCAATTCAAAGCTTGACTGCATTATCATAGGATGTAGACAAAACAACAACAAACAGTAAAAAAGGAACATGCTATATGAAGGGATGATGCATATGATGCATGCTTTTGAGCAGCGTGGATGTATAAATGTGAAGAAAAATTATAGTCATGTATAAAACAAGAAGCATAGGTCATAAGAGTGAAAAGAACCGTATGCAGAACTATGTAAAGATCCAGGTGGTCACATTTGCATGCTTGAAATACAAACGATTGGAGAAAGAGAATTCATGTGGCCAACCCAATTCATATTATGGGATTAAGGCAACGATGATGATGATGATGATGAGAATGAAGATGACGATGATGATGAGTAATTATGTGATCAGATTACTGTTTTATCCATCTCAACACATGACAGTTAAGGATAGGACAACACAACAATGGTAAAACAATGATGACTGTAGGTTCCAGCAATGCTCACCACAGATGCTATATGGTAGTCAAAGGTGTCAACTCTTTTATTCATCAGCCAATAATCCAGAAAGGGGCCTATCAACAGCAAGGACGCAGCCTGGGCTGGTGCAGTATGTCCCAAAAGATTGAAAGAACTAAGTGAGTACTTCCGTTGAAGGAAACTTACATACTGCACACACAAAAATAACAGCATTACAAGAGTAAGACCCTTCAGACTATTAAGATACAATTCGAGAGAATTATGTAAATTAAGAAATCCATAAAAGTTGAACAAATAAAGCATTATAGAGAAGAAAATATAGCAACTACCAATATAAGTTATAGAAAAACTTCTTTTGAGTTAAAAGTTTAACTAAGATATATGTAATGTGTCTGGTGTAGAGGAGCAATCCAGACAGTTCATACAAACTCGGGTAAGATGATAATAAAATAATAACCTACACTTGGGGGAAGGCATAACATATTGTAGATAGGAATAGACAACTTACATACTGCTGCATAGAAGTGCTCCAAACTGCAATAAAGGCGGCAATGAACCCTCTACCATTAACACTCACATCAGTAACAGTGCAAACTGCAACACCCAGAAGAACAACTGCTATGCTAAGCTTTGTGTCTCTGGAATACCGAATCTTGTCTAGAACAACTTCCAAAAAGCAGGATACAGGGATCATACTCAGCTTTGCAATCTGATAGTTAAGAAAATATTAACTTCTAATTATAATTTATAACAATGAATGAAATCTAAAACTCAAAGGACATATTTACCTGGTAGAATCCCACTGAGTTCCACATTAAACTAACATTCATCCCAACAATAGAGAAATTTGCAAAGAGGACAAATTTCAGAAGCTCTGGAAAGGGTAGATGAGAAGCTTGGATGTATCCCAGCCACTTAAGAACAAGTGTCATCAAGGTGGTTGTAGCAAAATGCAAGCCAGTTAAAGTAGTAGCTGCAAGAAATTGAATTAACATAACGTTAAAACAATATGATGATGAAAAGATACTCCAAAATGTATAATTAAATAGAACTCCTTGCAGGTAGCAAAAGAAGTTCATCTTCATCATCCAATCCATTTTCCAACTTTACTGCATCAACAACACAAATCCTATGATAGATATATTCCTAAATTATTTGTATTCCTCTTTGGAAAAAACATTGGCAGCAAAAGTCTTTAGTTGTGCTTCTTTACAAAAAAATAAAAAAATTAGATACCGTCATATAATATGCATAAAGCACTAACCACCAAAAAAAATGCATAATGCACAGTGCCTGTAGTCTATCAAGCTCCAATTCATTTGTAGTCTATCTTCATCTGTTATAAATTCTCAAGTCTTTCTTTCCCTTTTTTTAATAATAAAGCCAGTATAATCAGGGAAGAAAAACAATTGCTTTGGTTGTTAATTTGTAAAAAGATTTTAGATGCCATGCATCATATGCATAAAGGACACTGCCTGAACCTATCATGCTCTAACTCATGTGGAGATGCTCAGAATCTATCTTCATCTTTTACCATATGTCATCCATCATTGCTTTATCATCTTCAGATAATATAAAGCACAAAATCAATCTTCCATATGATTTGTAAATATTATAGAATTAGACGAGGACTTTAAGGAATAAATTGACTATAAACACATTCCTAACCCAAAGTTTTATTCTATTAACGTACCAGGCACCTTGCTGAGGAAAAAAAGATATAACAAACACGAGAAAATAGAATTTTAGGACATTCACCATAATAGAATCAAAACCTGATAAAATGCTATAATAGACATTTCCAATATTGTAGTTGGAAACTTTATGATAAAAGAAATAGATACCCGAAGGAAAAAGGATAATTTCATTTAAAGGACAAAACAGTCAATTTCTATTTGTTGAAGGAAAAACAAAAGTTGAAGAGAGAAATTAAAACATGAGGAACACAAAGATATTTGTGGTTCAGCCACTGGGGCTTACATCCACGGCACACAAAGCCCAAAGGGCTACATATCTTTATTATACACTCTTAAATTTGTTCACAATAACCACCTCTATTTATAGGTGAATTGGGGAAGACTAGGGCTCCATTTGTTTAGATGGAAATAAGCAAGAAAAGAAAAGAAATGAAAAATGAAAAAAAAAAAAAAAAAAAAGTGAAGTGGATGAAAAGAAAAATTATTATCTAGCATGGCATTTGGTTAGCATGAAAATTTATTCGGAAAATATTGGCTTGTTAATTTCGATAGCATGAAAGTGAAAAGAAAGTGATTGAACATACCAAAATTACCCTTATGATTTCAAATACTAAAAAACAAATGAATTTGTATTTTATAATGCCTATTTTTAGCAAAGAATTAGTAAAATGATGGATTATTAAATTTAATAATAAAATTGTTTATATTTTATTTATATTTAAAATCAGATCTTAGGTAGAAGTAGAACTAATTATTAGTTAAGAGAAACGAAACTTTAAAAAAAAGATAACAACAGAGATGAAGAAACTGATGGCAATACTAATTTTTGAGAGAGATTTGATTGTATGTTGTTGTTGCCAATTATATCTGAATTTTTGGAGAAACAAAGAAAGAGTTGTTTTGTAGAGAACTTGTCTCTTTGAAACCCAGTAAAAAAATAAAGTTTGCACGATTAAGTTAATGCGTAAATTAGGAATGTCAAAATTCTCATTTCACTGCTATAATTAAAAATTATCTCTTTACTTTCCTTTCCTTTCTAGTTGATTCCACCTAACCATACTAAGCCTAGTAGCTAGAGAGTAGGAATTTCTTGCTCTACAAGTATTTTATTTAAGGCCTTAAATCACTGCTATAATTATTCTCCAACACTATTAATATTTAGAATTTAATTCAATGTGAGAATGTTACAATCTAAGACACATGAGCATGGACACAATACAACATGGATATGCCGACACATCAAATTCAAAAAAAATAGGACGCACACACAACGTGAACACGGCTAATAATTATAAATTTTCATTTATATATCTATTGAATAAGACAATTATAGAACTTTAATTCATTTATAATTTTTATACTAAAGTTATCTAAGTTAGAAGATGAAACTATTTGAATAACAAAAAGAATATATATTATAATATATAAGATATTACTCTCCTATCTTGTCACTAACATGACAAATATATATGAATGAAGACTTGATCAAAATTGGTCCAACAATCATACTCATTAGGTTTACTCGGTACATACATGTTTTTAGGTCCAAGTGTAAATCACGCGCGGGGCCCCCGGGGGGGGGGGGGGGGGGGGGGGTGTTGGTCGTTGGCGGATATTTATATAATTTAAGCAAAGTAAAAGGCAGGGTGAGACTAATAATTTAAACTAGGGCGGTAGGGGCATTTTATATAAGCTAGAGGACCATGAAAATCCAACACTTGAACTCCTCCAGGATACCACTTGGCTAGAAGGCAATTCGAGTAAAGCCTTTTCTCAGGAGAAGAAAGAAGATCGAGATGCCATGGATAACAAAAGCGAAAGCAGACAACCAAAGAAGAGAAACAATAACACACTCTACTTTATTCCAGTTTAGTCACATTGTAACCACTCTCACTCTTGCACATTGTGTATACATTCTTTTCATTCAAATGATATTATCTTCATAAGAAACAATGAAAGAACTGCAATTATTTCCCTAGCCAATTCAAATACATATTACCATAATGAATTAATGTGATGTTTATTCCAAGCCTGAACTCTGGTCAGTCAACTACAATCATTCCAAAAGTTAAAGAATAGGCCTTTAAGAATGCAGACTCTCGCATAAAAGAATTAATTTATTTTCTATGTAAAAAGACGTACACCACAAGTAATCAAAGCAAATGAAGGAGATATTGATCAAGAATTTACCAAAACTGAAGCCATATGTGGCCATTAATGCTTTATTGACGATGATGACTCCAACGGAAGTTGTAACATTGAACATCCACGCGGCTGCATCTAATGCAGCCTTTTTATCAGCCTTGCTAGCTGGAGCCATTTTCATTTTTCTCTAATTGATCACGGGAGAATTTTATGATCCATAAAACTGTCCTTGCACTTCCACACGAAAATCCAACGGTTGTGCTTGCTCTAGTGACCAAATGCTCTAAAGGAGAGACATAATTGAAACAACTAAGAATTATTGCACAATTGTCATTCATTCGAAATTATAAAAGTCAAAATCCTGATGGTGTATGATTTCAGAAATTTTCATTATCCGTATCCATTGCACACAATCTTTAAAAAACATATATAAAAAATAGTTGTTCTTCAACAACTAGAAAACATTATTGAAGTTCAAATATAAAATCAAATTAATCTCAATCAGGAAAAAAAAAAATCAAATTAATCTCAATCAGGAAAAAAAAAAATCAAATTAATCTCAGATTAAAAATGAGAAGAATTTGGCGAATCAAATTAGCAGTGACAAAATCAAACCTGTGCTAGCTCAATTTGCAAACAGTTCAATTAAAAAATTAGTGAATTTAGTAATAAATGTACAATGCGTATAATTATAAATTATAAGTATCAAGGGACCTAATTATTTAACACACATAGCCCATCAAAAAGGAGCTGTAAACTAATGAAACAAATCACAGCTTTAAATTTGCAACTTCCCAAATTCCTGATCTCTTTATTTCTCATAAGAACCATAAAAGAAAGTTGGTTTCTAGGTTACAAAGCAAAAACAGATGGTGGTTTTGTAGTTAATCTCTACAAATTTTAGACTATTAAAACCACTGTTTTCTTGACCTAGTAATAACCTTTGGTCACTTTAAATTGGACACCAAATTCCAGAACCTATCGCCAACCAGGAAAAAAATGTTCTGCATTCAGTTTCCTCAACATTTTTGGGTAGAAAAAGTAGGCTTTAAAGATTAAACTCTACAGGAAAATTCTTACTGTTCAAATGAACATTTTATCGCAAAGATATCCCATTGAAGGGCCTATTAGATGGTGAGTCCAACTTAGTGGATTATTTAAGTCGTGTGTGCTGAGAAATGGATCAATATATAATCATGCAGGCACACTTTTGCAATGTAGAAGGTTTAAGCTCTTATGTCCAATGAGTTTAATAACCACTCATTTCTATCATCTGCATGGTACACTAAGTATTACAATAATATTTTATACTCAAGATGGCAAGCATTTGATTTCAATCATTTTCTTTACATCATGCAATACTATTGAGAATTGGATGGCATTAATGAATCTTTTACATGGTTGCTAAACCTGTGTTTAAATTTGGTACTTTACCCTCCAATTTTAATTTCCAATTTTTAGCCAAAACACTGGCTTGATGTGTTTCATTAGTTTATAACTTAATATGTAATACAGTTTCATAGTTTTTATTTAAATTTTCAATGATCAGCTCAAACATGCTTCCCTGTGATGTCTCTTGATTCTGTTTTACTATTTATTAATTTCTCCAAAAAACATAATATAAGCAGTTATTTGTTCACGTCTAGATTTTTGTATTTTATCAATTCAATCCATTTGATTTATTTCAAATTGCTTGAGTTTTCTAACTGCTTAGAATAGAAGATCATGTGGATGCATGATTTTACATTATTTTAAATTTTTGGGAGGTGGTGGAAAGGAGTTAGGGGAGGAGAGGGTTCTTATTTCAACAAGTTTGATATATACTCATACAATTTAAAGTACATAATAAAATTAAATTGCACAATATATATTATATTCGCTGTGATCACAAAACAGATCCAAAAAATTATATTCACCAATGTTGGCATATCAAATTCACAGTGATCACGAAACAGATCCAAAAAAATTAAGAACAAACACACAAAACACACTTCGACTCCCCAAAACCAATCACAATTGTACCATTCCATATCAGATCTATGGACCATGACCTCATTGCAACAATTCAAAAAAGCTATTAAATTGAAGCAAAATTGCGAAAAAAAAAAAATGAATCGATTAGTAGATTATTAACAGATCTATAATCGGAATCATTTCAACTTTATATAAATCCGTAATAGTAACAATCAGTTGATACACAGTTCTAAAATTTGGTTGATAATGGCATACCGTTGGAAGGTGACAAGAAGAATGACGACGATTTTGTGACTAATCGTCACACACTGAGCTCTCAAACTTGGATTTGATGAAATCAGAAGGAATTTTAGGGTTTGGAAGTTTCTTCTTCTCGGCACGTCTTGTTTTTCACTTATCTTATGCTTTGAGTTCGAGTTTCAGTTTCGCAAGGATTTTTAGAGAGGAGAGAGAGAGAGAGAGAGAAATTCTGTTGGGGAATGGAGCCCTCGTGGTGGTGGAAATGTTTTGCAGCCAGCGAATCACAAGGAGGATGGGTTGTATTACATGTGATAAGTACCCATCGAAAATTTGGTCCATGTGATAGAGTTATCACTTTGTCACTTATGATCAAATTACAAGCACGAATATTAAGGAACTTAAGATAGCTATTAATTCTTTTCAAGGGCATAGCATAGTTAGTAAAATACGACACGGGAAAAATATAAATACGATAATGTACGAATATAATTTGATATTTTTTTAAAAATATGTTTAAAAAATTCGGCAAAAAAATATAAAAACGTAAAAATACGAATAGGTACGTATATAATACATTATATACACTAGAAATTCGGAATAAAAAATTCGGCTATACACATCTTATTATTTTCTTATATATTATATATTTGTAAGAAAAATAAATAATATGTAACAAATAATAAAATAAATATATTACAATTAACACTATCACAATAATCATAAAAAATAAATAAATAAACTATCTAAATATAATGAAACAATAACCATATGTCCATAACATGATCAATTTCATCACAAAATTAATGAAAAAAATTCTAATTCAAATAATCAACTATGTTACCCAAAATAAAAATAAAAAATTGTTCTAAATTTAGATAACACCATCTAACCAAGAAAGATTTTCATTATTGGTGACTATATCATTAGAAATGTCATCTGTTGGCTCTAAAGAATAATCCTCCAATTCTTCATGATCAACATATTCAAGATTGTCAATAAGTTTGTCAAGATTAATTGGCTCCAAATCTTGTGCTTCGAGTGTCTTGAATTTTTCCATCATCATTGTGTTCATTCTTACGTATACAAGATTATTCAACATTGTAGGTGCCAACCTATTCCTTTTCTTTCTTTGCGCAGCTTCCCAAGCACTCCAATTTCTCTCACATGAAGAAGAACTGCAAGGCTGACTCAATATACAAATGGCATACTTTTGTAGCACAGGAAGACAATCCCCACAATAATCCCACCAAACTCCTACACATAATAAATAATAATAATAATAATAATAAAACTAAATATATAAAGCTTATTATAATTTTAACAAGATATTTTAAAAAATAAAAATAAAAACTTACGAGGATGAGATGTTTTCAACATTGTCTTTGCTGTATTTGTGAATAAAGTTGTGGTCTTCATACGGTAAAATTGCAGTTCTCGAATAAAATCTTCCTTTCCTTCTTCAATAATAAAATTTCCTAACATAAAATCTATACCGTCTTTCATTTCACGATTTTCTCTGAAGTCCTCGCTACACATGAAGGCAGGATTTAAAAATGCAGCAGCTGCATGTATTGGGTGGATTATATTTTCAATTCTCCGTTTTTCAAATAACACCTATATCTGCATGTAATTAGCTTGATTAATACAACAACGTTGTTTAATAGTTTCTTTTGCCTATTCCATCGCCTCATACAAATATCCTGCAGTTGAACCATCTCCATCAACTAAACGAAGAACTCTAACTAAAGGCTCCAGAGTTTGTATTACTTCTTTCCCTTTACTCCAAAACTCAACACTTTGAATAATACTAGTAACCTTTAGTCCCATCCCTCTTTTGTTGTAATCCAACCCCCTCCATTCAGAAGATGCCACAAGTAATCGCAATCCATCTTCAACTTCTAAAATTGATTGAACCATCAAAAAATTGGAGGCAAATCTAGTCGCACAAGGATGTTTGAGTTCTTTATGATTTGTGTGCTCTCTCATTAATGACGAAATAATAGTGTGCTTGTACAAATATATCACAATTAATTTTGCATCATCAATAATATCATGTATCCACAAAACTTCAGAACAAATATCTTTCAATAGTAGCTGAATCCCATGAGCAACACATCGTGTTTTATACATACGAGGGTACTTACCAATAAGCATGTCACCAGCTGACTCAAAATTTGATGCATTATCAGTAATGAACTGCACAACGTGATTAGGTCCAATATCTTCAATTACTGATGACATAATATCTTTTAGATAAACACCTGTTTTTTTATCCTTTGAAATTTCAAATGAATTCATAAATAGTGCCCCACCAGGTGAATATGCAATTATGTTGATAAAGGCACGTTGCTTCATATCACTCCATATATCTGACATTAGTGTGCAACCTGTAGCAACCCAAGTTTTCTTCACATTCCCAATGTATGCCTCTACTTCTGTCCTAGAATCTGGTATTAGCTTTGTGCGTAAAGTTGAGTAACTAGGTAATTTGTATGTTGACCCAAATTCAGCAACACTTTTCACGAAATCAATAAAAGATTGAGTCTGAACCACATTAAATGAAATATTATTCAAAATAATGTGCTTGGCAAGTTTTTTATCCACCTCACTCTTATCCATCTTTTTAATTCTTTCTGGCATGGTAGATTGTTGTAAGCCCTTTGAAGATGAAGAGGAAAAATTAATAGACACACCTTGCTCAACATCAATTGGAGTAACTGTAGTTTTAATTTTTTTGTTCGGACCACCAATTGCTAAAAATGCAGCTGCTTGAACCTCTTGAGGTACTTTTGAACAATTTCAATGTCTCTACCTTTTACCCCAGATAAGTGTGATTTGACTTTTGAAATACCTCCAGGATAGTTTAAGTTACAATACTTACACATGAAACGACCTTATAATTGTTCAACGTGATCCCAAAATGCATCCCTCTTTTTTCCCATCTTTCCTTAATAGCCTATATATTTATAATAAATTCATAAGTATATAATGTGATACTCTACTAAAACATCTAGGGAGTGTGGTGATTTACAAACTTCTAAAATAATAACAATAAAGATACAAACAAAATTTAAAAGATCTCACAACAAAATAAAAAATCTATAAATATCTACAAACATCAATAAAAACTTATAATTCTTCAAGATTATAGTATTCCACAAGTGTGTGTGTGTATATATATATATATATATATATATATATATATATATCTTTCATTTTTTTGATTAAAGATCATACAATGGAGTGACAACAATAAGAGATTAAAAAAAAAGAAAAAAGAAAAAGAAAGTGATACCTTGAATGTAGAACAACTGAGTGAGAGAATGGTCACAACCTTCCCCAAGATTGCACAACAAATAATATTATTTTGATAGCGCGAAAGATAATGGTTATAGAAGCAAAAAAGGGTAGTAATTTGTATTTCAGAAAAATAGGTTATTAGAAACGTGAAGTTTGTGAACGAAAAGAAAAGAAAATAATTAGGTTACGAATTAAACATAGCGACTAAAACGAATAAACGAATAAACGCGTTAGATACAGGGTAATGGAAAAAAACGCGTATTTTACCGAATCTTTCAACTCTAATCGGCAAACGGAAGTATTTTCCCAAAATTCGTACGTACGCGTTTAATTCGCGTATCATACGCGAATTAACTAACTAGGTAGCAGAGTTGATTCAAAAAATTTGGTCTTATTTTTTTTTATTGTATTATTGACTTGAATGGTGTGTTGTAAGGCCGTTGCTTTAAAAAAAAAAAAAAAAAAAAAAAAAACTATTAATTACAGCTTTAAGTACACTTTAATGAAAACTTTTTAAAAAATCCTAGTAATGAAAACTTAAACTAAATTTAATTACACAAACCTACATATTGGATAATAAATAAATAATGCACAAAATTATATCAAGTACCTATATTAAAGTGCTATCATTATAAATAAATTAGCTTAAAATAATATAAAATAAAATTGTACAATACTGCCAAAGATATGACAGCTTAATTTGGTTAAATGAAGTAAATAAATAAGGGAGGCAATATTGGCACTTCATTTATTTTTTCACTTGCATTCTATTTATTTTTTTCTTTAAGAAATTTTAAAAATAACAAAAAGGTCCTTAAAATCATTAATGCATTATCCTTATTTTATATGTCATAACTACCCTTTATACAACTTTAAATTTTTTTTTACCTTCTTTAGTTTATTTACTTCTTTTTTTTTGGCTGGAGGTCCTATCAAAAAAGATAATTTATTCTATACTATTAATTTTATTTTTGGTAGTCAAAAGAAATAATTTATTCAATAGTATTTTTTTTTTTTTTTGGATATAATCGAATAGGGGTGCACACGGTTCGGTTTAAACCGGTTTGAGAGTATTTAGGAACCAAACCAATTCTAACGGTTCCAGAAAATCTAGAATCAAATCAAACCATTTGACCAAAAGGAGCCAAACCAAACAAAAACCGATTTGGTTCGATTGGTTCCACGGTTCCTTTTTTTTTTTTTGCCCTCCTGCAGAAGTATTCATATTTCAAAATCGCAAATACATAACAATCAACCAAGTTAATCGGTACATTCAAAACTGGTAATATATTCCGAACTTTTAATTAATTATTCTCTATCATTTTTGGAACTAAAGTGAATACATTTAGAATTGCTAATAACCTAATACATTCAGAATTACTAATTCAACAACAAACATTAAGTCACAATTCAGAAAATTAACAAAATTTAGCCATTGTAAATCAATAAGATATACTCTGTAAGAACCATTTAATGAATTGATAAGACCAAAGGGAATTAAGAGTAGGCCGTATGATTAATAGTTGCTACAAACTTTTAAGTGATTTGGATTGTATGATTATATTATATTATATATATAATTTAACATATATATATATATATATATAACTAAACGGTTCGGTTAGGTCAAGTTTGGTCTTAAAGGACCTCAAACCATGACCAAACCGTATCTTTACGTTTTCACAAATTTAAAACAGTAACCGAACCAAATTGTCCAGTCCGATCTGGTCCGGTTTGTATTTTCGGTTTGACCAAATTTTGTGCACCACTACAATCGAAACAAATAATTTATTCAACAAAGTAAACTTTTTTTCATGTATATTTTTTTCAATCCTATCAAAAGAGTTAACTTTTTTTTGGGGGGGATATTTTTAATGGTCCAGTCAAAAGAAATAATTTATTTTTTAGGTTTTTTTTTTTTTTTTTTTTTCCTATTAAGAGAGAAAAAAATTTTAATGGTTATTATTAATTTTTTTTATGATCATGTCAAAAGAGGCAATTTACTCAACATAATTTTTTTTTTTTCAGATACTTTTTTTTTTTATGCTGTAAAAAAAATTATTCAACATTTTTTTTTAATTGTCAAAATATACCTGCAATATTAAAGAATATTAGAGATAAAAGATAAAATCTAAAAGGGCAATTGTGTCATTTAAAAAATAATCATCATTTACTTGTAGATTTAGGGTAGGAATTGCCATTTCATTTAAGGTTGGAGTGCAAATGTAAAAAAGTATAGTGCAAATATGACTTCCATAAATAAATAATATAAGAGTGTGACTGATTTGTATAATTTACTACTCGATAGTACAATAGTCTCTTTAAAACTGTTAGATGGCCGTCTTAATATTTATATGATCACGATAAAAAGAAAATCAAATAATGACAAATGTCACGAGGTTAACCTCATAGTAGCATTACTCATTTTGTTATTCAAATATCACTATAAAGAAGGGTTCTTAGATGCCACAACCTTCCATTTAATAGTATTTGTCATATAACTTGCATGAACTCATTTATGGAGACTTTATTCAATATTTTTCTAAAATCCATATACTTTTGCATTAGAATTTCTGATATAAAATTCTTAAAGTTTTCATTATTCTTTGTTAAACATGTTTAATTCCATGTCTTGAATTGAAATTATTTTGTGCCCATCAAAATATGGTTTGAAGTGCTTGTTAGTTCAGTGCACGAGACTATGACGGCCCGAATTTCAAAGAATCCGGTGCATCAACGAGTAACCCGAAAACTGATCCGATAACGAATCCCAAACGCGGAAGCAAGAAAAAGAGAAGGGGTCTCTAGAGATGGACACCACCTCTAAGACTCCAAAGTGACCTTTTAAGAAGTTACAAAACTAAAAAAGAAACCAATGCGGAAACTAAGGTTTAAAATGGACAAGGTATTGTACTCGGGGTAAAATGGTCATTTCAAATAGAAATTGATGCTACCATGTATACCACTGGATAGACAACGAAAAATTAATAAATTTAGACTCAAAAATCACTTGATTTGGGTTAGAATGAAGAATATATGAATTTATGAAGTTTTACAAAAAAACTGCCAAAGTGAGCTCAGGTGCGATTGATTGTAAATGGTTAGGATCGATCGTAAAATTTCGAATGATGAAGGCAAAAAAAATAGTTCTAGATGCGATCAATCGTAAATGGTTAGGATCGATCGAAATTGGCTAGGCTGCAAGTTGTGATTTTTCGAAAATGATTGAATTTCAATGCAAAAATAGGACTTTTTGGAAAAAAGTTCGTGAAGGAAACCCCCTAAAAATGAGTCCTCTGGTCAACCATAGTCCAAATCAAGAATAAAAAGCAACGTAAAATGACCTAAATGCCCCCAAGATTATGCTATGTCAGAGAGATAAAAACATGTTGTAAAATGACATACATTCCATACATAAAAAATGTTTGGCCCTTGGCCTCATTACATACAAGTTAAAGTAGCATCAAAATAGAATACTTAAGTACATATTACACATCCAAAATAAAGCAAGGCATGCTTCTAAATACATTACACATTGTTAACCTCAAAAGATAACTATATCATGCTAACACTTGCATGTCAAAATATACAAAAGATGTCCAATTGAAATACAAGCCAAGCTAGGGATGTTGTGCATCCAAAAAGAGTGTCTCCTTACCTGAAAAACAAATATCAACTAGGGTGAGTAATCAAGTTACTCCGTTGGATGATACGTATGTGTATAACCTAAAGTTTTAAACGTCTTGAAAGTGTAATATAAACGAATACACGTGGATCATGCTCTCTAACGTCTAAGTTCAAGGTGAAGCTAAGGGATCATCCTAAAGTTACCTTTGAAACATTTTAAACACAATCCACAATAAGCAAAGAACTTAAACAACACTGGAACCTCTAATGCCAACAACAAGTTATAACTATCTAGTATTGTTAACTTGAAATAAAATGTGAAATCAAACAATACGAATATACTTGCAAGAACAACTACCACGAAGCTAGGAAGATAACAAGGTTTACACCATTCCAAGAACTATAACTTAACCTACACATAAACTCCACTATTATGTAACTCATGCATGCGACTCTACGATGTAATGTGATGTTATGCCGGAAATCACATCTGATTAAAATGATTGGTGCACTCCCTCACCCCACTGGTCAAGTGTGACTAGGGATTTTTAGCCCTTGAACTCGATATCCACTTCTCAAGTTCTGATAGCTTCTATCTTTCAATCATGTCAGGTATGTCTTACACACACAACTTATAATACTATGAACCTCATGAACAAAATGATGACCACTATGCTCCTAAGGCCAAAGTGGCACACTCAAACCATGATTCCCTCACATTGAAAATATATCAATAATGTCATAATACTAAAACAATATAGACTACTCAATAGCCACACAATCAAGTCCTTAATTTGTACACACTTATACTAACATTATATTATTGACATAAAGAATTAAATCATACTAACAATGTAAGCCTTAAACATGGAACTACGCAATCCCTACTTTAAATCGTCAAAACTACAATGGCATTTACAATGACAAGTTCCCAATGTGAATGAAAATACACTAATACAATGTTATCAATTTAGGGAATTCATTCATGCTAATACAAAGTGAGTTTCAAGTCCTTAATTTCATAACCACATAGTGTCAATTTCACAACAAAATCATTGGCAAGAATTATATAAAAAGTGTATAGTTACACAAAAATAAATTACTAGATTTCAATTCTCCGCCAAATAAGGTAATATAAATACAAGAAGTAAATCACATTCAAGACTTTAACAATATGAAACCCTAGGTTAGTTACATACAATATTCATTTATATGCAACCCTAGAATTTAAATAACATGCATATAATGTATATTAACCTCAAAGAACACATTAAAACACCAGGAGTATAAACATAAAACATCCCCTACCTCACTAGAGAATTGTATCTCTAGAAACCTCAAAGAAATGGAAGCAAAATGGAAATCCAAGCTAAGGTGTGGTGGACAAGAGTGTAAGGAACCTTTTGTCTTCCAAGTGCAAGACCCAAAGGTGAAAGGAAGAGGATTGAAATCAAGGTATGGAGGCTAGGTTTCTAATGCTTCAATGGTGGTTTTAGGTGAGAGGTGAGAAAGACTAACACTTTCTCTAGATTTTCCAGTAAGGAAAATAAATGGTTAGTTACATAAACTAACCTAACATACAAGGTTAACCTAACACACCACACCCCTCCACTTATCATGATCTTAGGCCTTCCCACAAGGTTAAATCTATACCCTACACTTGTTAAAATCCTAAACTTCTAAGTGTTCTACCCAAAAGTCAACATATGGTCCAACGAAATTGTGACACTTGTCACACTTTTCAAAAATTACAAATTGGTCCCTCTTCTAAATATCTTACAAAATAATTGCAAAAAGATCTCTAAGACAAAATATCTCAAAAAGTTAATTACGCAAAGACCCCCCAAAAACGAAAATGTTTCCGAAGAAAAAATGCAATCATACCCCTAACTTTTCTACACAATTTAATTAGGCATTTACAATAAATTAAATTGAAGTGGATGCATGCGATGTCAGAAAACATTTTCGAACACAAAACTAAGGCAACGAGAAAAGAAATGAACAAATAAACAAATAAAATAATTAAATAGTTAAATAATTAAATAAAAAATTTATGTCGGAAAAAGGACAAAGATGACACGGTCATCACAGAGACCCCGTCAATGTTGGGTGTGAAGAGGGTTAGATGAACACAACGTTACCTCTGCATACCGAAAAATTGTGTGTGATTCAAACTCGTGACGTGCAGGTAGGGCCGGCCCTAGGACCAGGCGGTCACCTAATCCAATTTGGAAGGGCCTCAAATTTATGACACGGGCCTCGCATTTGGAAAAGGTTTATGTATAAAAGGTCTCGCATTTGAAAGTTTGCATAGAGCCTTTGAAAATTTTGAAAATCTCAAGGCCGACCCTGTCTGCAGGTGTCACAATGAAACAACCTTAATGTGGTACTAAGGCTCACCCTAAAAAATAGTTTGAAGTAGCTTGAATAAGCAAATGTCTTTGTAGCATAGCGGTTGCGTTGCTCTCCATTATTCTTGGGAGCCTAACTTCGAGCCTTCACTCCCCTTACTTGGTTGAATAATCATCTTTTTATGGTTATTTTTAAATTCTCGATAGTAATTGAGGTTTCAAATTGCAGTTTTTGGGACCTCTCGTTCAATCATCTTGTTAGCCTACTCAAAGGTCTCATTACATTCCAAATTTAATGCGGCTGATAAGATTCTCCTAGAGTTGCTTGATTATCAAATATGGATACGATTTTTACATTACTCAAGCCATTACCGAAAAGGGCTTTCCTAGTTTCCTTTATTGCCTTCCGGACAATGTTAGGAAGGTTTGAAACTCTGACGAATTTTTGTTACTTGTGTAATTTTTTAAACTATTCCCCCTTCAATAATTGGTTCATCTGGAAATTTATTCCAATATCTTGATTTTTCAGTAGATAATCGTAACATTTAATAATATTGTACATCCCACATTCCCACCTCAATGCATCTAATGGAACAGCACCTTCAGCCCCTCTATTCGGAGCCACATTTTCGAACAGAAAATGATTATTCTTTTACATAAACTAACTGCTCTCTAGACCTGCATTATCACACTTATTAATACCATTCTACCAAACAATGACCCTTACAAATATCACATCCTATACACAATAATATATTGTTTGCAAGTTTTTATCATGCCATACTCTGGATTTGGGAATTCTTGCCATTTGGGTATGAGACTGTTTTCTGCTTCCCATGTAATGAACTATTCAAGTAGGAAAATGAAAGCTTCTTATTATCCACATATAGATACAGATGAAGTTTATGCTTCTGGGCATGGTGAGATAACCCCCCAAACATTGGGTTCGCAACCCGTAAACTAATATAACTAGATCACAGAAATGGGATATTATATAGGTGACTGAGCTAAAATAAAAGATTAGGCCTCTTGCTATCAAAATAATCCTTTTTTGTCACAAGAATCCACATTATCGGGGTGATTTTCTGCCTCTAACAAACACGACTTACTTGAGCTGAACAAAAATTAACAGCACATAAAGTGTAATCATCCGTAGTTGAAGTTCTTTCTACCGCCTCACAGTACACCATCTTCAGTGGTTGAAAGATTTTAATGCATTTCTGTGGCTATGTACCTGGAAAATAACATAAATTGAGTTACTTCTCAGGCCGACTTGCATCCTTCTAGTGAATTTTATTCTTTTTTTCCTTTTCTTTTTTTCGTATTTGTAAATCCTTACTCGTAATGAATACAGGAGTGAACATAAAACAGCTGCCAAATGCTACGTTAATGTCAAATGGATATGGCACAGCCTAATTCCTTAGAGGCAGTATCAAGAAACTCAAGAGACATTCCACTTGAAAGTCGGCTATGAGCTTCCCATGTTAGGCACTTTACGATATCTGTTTGCCAGTCAATGACGCCTGCATTTAGGTGCTGATATGTGGGACTATGGATGGCTTTTGAATCCATTTGTTTATGACTGGATTTTATTGAACCAGTATGAAGAATATCACGAAGAACTGATGTGCTAAGAGCACGGACAAGAGCACTTGGATGAGAAAGGCATCGGGTCATAGCTGGTAGGCGACACTGTACACATTTGTCCAGGTAAATCATATCAGTATAGGTTTTTGCATGGACATTAAAGAAATTAAACTTTGGAATAGACCCTAATATTGGATCTTTTATGCCAACAATGGTTTTAACTCCTATCAGAGGACATCAGAGTAAATATTTCAAAAGAATCAGAGTAACATTTTCTCTTTTTCTTTTCCAATCTCATTGGAACATGTCCTCAGATGGGAGACTGACTTGTCATGTATACAGCATATTTTCTGATAACATGGAACAACTCCACTAAAGGTGTTTACTTACCTTCAACAAGTTTGAAAGGCCCTCTGCGACTGCCAACCCAGATTCTGCCCCCCACTCGAGCACTGGTTGGACTGCTCTAGCTGTTGCTTCCAGGAGCTGCTCATTTTTATGTTTGTGAAAATATTAATGTTGTGATGAATCACGACAAAGCACAAAAACAATAAAAAAAATATGCAATGAAATTAAATACTTATTAAAACCACACACCACACTGATTTAACGTGTTTCGGCTTATCGCCTACATCCACCGGTGAAGACAGCGAAACAATTTACTATGCAAAGAAGAAATGAGATGTACAAGTCTCTCAACAATTAATACAAATATGGGATAACATATATGGTACAAAGACTAGTTCTTTCAATATTATACCACAATTATTTCAAGGGAATAGAAAATTATAAACTCGATATACCACAGGTTGCTTAGGAACAGTAAGTTGGCAAAAAGACATGTTTATTAAAGTAAGAAATGAGGATACTGCATATTTACTAAAAGATCATAAATTTACCTCCAGCTGCGGTAGAGTGCATGCTTCTCCATCAACGAACATCCCATCTGTGGCACGCAAAAGAAGATCTGAAGCACTAGCCAAAATTATCAATGATTCCGGAGTATCATGATTTCTCAGCAGCTCCACAATCAGTTTCAAAATTCTCTGGTTGATTCTCCACATCTTCTGACCCCGATCGTCGTCTTTAGCAATCCAAGGCTGCAATTCCCTCTCAGACTGACAAGCATAGAAGGGTATGAAGGTGAGGAAACAAATGATTTGGTTATATAAAATAAATAAGAATATGGGGCTGCTATTGAACAACTGCTAGTGGCACCTCTGTCAAAATCAGGTAATGAAAAGAAATCGTTCATTTTAGCCATTTTGGAACGTATAAAATGTAATTTCAACTTTTCAATGCCTTTTTGTGTCCCTGTATTAGAACAGGTGGTGTGAAGGCAGTGACCGATAGAAAAAAAGAGCTGAATTTTATTTCAGTGAATAATTTAGAAAGGAAAAAATCTAGACCTGTAGAACAATAGCTGTAGCAGCTTTTCTTGGTGATGCTGATACGACATTGCATAGTGCATCAACCACCTGTTTACATATAGGTAACATGGTAAAAAAACCTTAGTTTTGAATAGAAGCAGAAATGGATTTAATGTCATATAACCTCACATCATTCCATGTACCAAATCTAAATATTTCTGAACTAAAATTGTGACTGTTCCGTTACATGTTCGCATTTCATATATATATATATATATATGCAATGACTTGTAAAGGAGAAGTGAAGATGATTATTAAATAAACAGAGTAGAATATGATCCTAAACCTGCATCATAACAGTGAAAACTTCAAGTCCACAATGTACACACAAATAAGTTAGTTGGGGTAAAATTTAATTAAGTGATCCCTCCACCAAATATAAAGAAGAATTCATAATCAGCATGGTTTCTTTTGGTTAACCTTACGAGCTAAAACTATGCTCCCTTGAACCACAAAATGTTTGATAACCTGCTTAATCTTTTTGGGTCCTACCAGATTAAATGCCACAAGGAACAACCCCCCCCCCCCCCCCCCCCCCCCCCCCCCCAAAAAAGTTATTAAAGAACCAAAAAGGAAAAGCCCTAATATATGTTCTTACTTTATAGGTGCACAATCATCCTAAAGAGGCTATTACCTACTGCTAGTCCCACCAATGCGAGGCACTAGGAAGGGTAGACTGCATACAAGCGCAACTCTGAAGTGCCAAATTTGTAAATGGTGGCCTAGAGATAAAACACAATTGAGTTTCTGTATTCATCTTTCCGTAAAGATATTTTTTAGAATTCATCAATGAAAAGAACATCATAAGCTATTAATTATTTTGTTTCTCATCGTCAATCATTTTTTATATGAATAAGAAACAAAAAGTTATTAATGTATGATAACAGAGATGTAAAAGATTACCATCCTCCATCCTTGCTGTGCAGAAGTGCTCTCTGCACTAGGTTGTGTTTCTGGGACTGCAATCAGCTTGTGCCAGAGCAGTGAAACAACTGAGAAACATAATTCTTGCTTCTCTGCCAGTACAGACCTTAGAAGAAATTGCGGACTGCAATTAAATCCTACTTGCCTGTCCATTGTGAGGAAGCTGGCCAAATCCAAAGCGTCTAATGGGAAACTTGTGATCTCTTTACCAGTTCTATTTCCTGTTCCTTCATTTGGATATGAAGCTTTCTCACGCTTAAGTGACGTTCTTAAATCAGCTGAATATTCATTCTTCAGTGCCAACAGTTGCACTGGTTCAAAGCAGCCAGTGCTTAAATATTTATCTTGTTTACTGCCATCAAGAGATACAGGGGTATCCTTCCAAACTGGTGCATGCATTAAGTGTGCTTCCAGTGGTTCTGCCTTGTTGACTATGGATGCAACAGTTTTGCTGTGAATATCAATAAGATCATAAAGTGAAGATGCCCTGGAGTGAATTTCATTATCCCATTTGCACCGCATGAAGACAGAAAGTGCATTCATGCAAGCCTTCGACTGTCTGAACAGTTCAGAAATATGAGCCGCAACCATAGCAGCAGCAACTATCTCATTTGAACTGTAACTCCACGAGGTTCCAACAGAGGATGGTTTCAGAGAAAAAAGTGCCTCCAGAATCGCCAATATCCTGTGAATATGATGAACTGCAGAACCAATACTATTTTGGAACTCACTGGAAGATCCATTTATTTTTGAAGTCTTGTTTGCATCCAGCACATTTTTGGGATCTACATGATTACCGCCTCTTGCAATCAATGGGAACAACTGAAGTTCACATGCAAGAGCACAAACAGCAGCTAGAACATAAGAATCAAATGCCGCTACAGGCCCCTGTTTTTTTGTTTTTCTACTTCCCATGTGTGTCTGTTTTCCGGACACTGCTTGCAAATCCTCACAGATTCCATCAGGAGGATGACAATTCTCATCTACTGGTCTCTTGCTACCGTTACCCTGAGCTTCATGGTTGACACACACAGTTAAAAAAATGAAAAGTAGGCGTGAAGCAAGCTCTACAGAGGCACATGATTCTAAAAATAGTGAATGAACCATTGAACGAAGCTCTGCCACAACAAGATTTTTGGAAGTAGACCCAACACCAGAAAGATTTCTTGTTTTTCTGCTTTCTTCTCCAGAGTACTCGGATCGAAATGTTCTCTGAAGTACTGCTTCAACAGTAGCAACAAATATTTTCATGAGACATGCTTCAGATGGACTTCCGCGAGGAAGATACTCCAGAACTTTAAGGAGGGGTATGTATAGGTTCCACGATAAAATGGGAGGTTGAAGTGGAGTTGCAACAATGATTTCAGGAAGGTCAACAGCTGACGAATTTAATGGAATAAGGCCATAAGCCGCTTCCCATATGGTGCATATTCTCCATTCAACCTCTGGTCCATGGACACAAAGCATTGATGCAATCCCTTGGGCGGTGGCCTCAATTGTTGATTCAGTTGCATGTGCTTCTATCTGGTCAACATACTTTACAGAAGGCAGTTGGATTCAGTACTAAACATCTTATATGAAAGAACTTCAAATTTAAATATATTGCTGAAGGACATGAGAAATCAATGCAAATAGTAACATCCAAACAATAGTTGCTGATGACTTGTACCTGCTTTCCGTAGGATGAAATATTGCCACCCCGAGGTTCATGTTGAACTTCAACTCCTTCAACTTGTCTCAGTGGAGGAAAAAGCAGTGCAGGCTGTGAAAGTATGCGAAAAAGAAGAGCAGCTGCAGCATCAGCAGCAATGCCTGCCCTCATGGACATTGCAATTCCAATTGGATGCAAGAAATGCAAATGCATCCAGTTCCTGGGAAGCTACACCATCAATGAAACAATCAAGACATGCATTTCGGGAAAGCTAAATCCATAAGTTGATTAATTCACTCCCATAACATTCCATCAGCTAAATCTCCTTTGATTGAATAATTGATCCAGCCTCTTGTTTGAAGAAACCCTCCAAGAAAGGTTGATCAATTTCAAAGGAAGTTTTCGTATCTAATTTCCGTTGATGAAAATTAACCTTAACCGAGACTCGAGCATTACATTTTATTGCAAACTTGAACCCCATACTCCCATAGTGCATATGCTGTGTACAATTTTGTTGTATAATTATATTAAATTGCTCAAATATAAATAGGATGCCCCTCAACCACCTTCCTCAAGAATAACTAGTTGAATATTATTAATGAATTGAAGTTTAGCTGCTCAGTTAATACTTTAAATTTATGATATTTTGGTGCTTTTCTGAAGAGCATGCATCAATGTACACTGAACAGTGTGTACTACCAGTTTAGGAACGACAATTTGATTTTAAGTAGATTAAAGCATGCATAATACATATGTATAACATCTTATGTTACAAATGATTTTGAGATGAAAAGTAGGATACTATCAGGTTAGTGACAAAAACAGAGAACATGGTTAGATAATGCCATCTCAGATGGTTTAGCAGCGGAACAAAGGCCAATAATCTCACCAGAAAATGGACGTAAATTGATGAAGTCGAAGATGCCGCAAGCACAGGAAGAAGGCTAGACTGTGATTTGAGGCTTCGATTCAATGAATTAATTGATTCTCTCTTACAAATTACCAATATCAATACAACAAAGGAACTTCCAATAATGTTCACATAGACCAAAGCCTGAGAATATTGCTTTCTATATCTCACTTCCACGTTTACCAATATCAATACAAACAACGTAATTTCCGATAATGTTCATATAGAGAAACACTTAACACTGTTGTTTTCTGTATATGGATCATTTGTTGAAGAAACCATAATTATATATTGCTAAATTCCTCATACTAAGTAGACTCTGTTTTTTGAAGTGTGAAACTTGATGCATCTCAAGCAACTATGTGGGAACTGACTAGCCATATTGCATCCCCAACCATGCTTGTAGGAACATACTAGAATACAAACTACTGTTAGGAATAATATCGCGGAAAACCCACTGCATCATGTGCTAGTGTAGAGAATGAGTCACAACCAACATACCCTCATGCCAGATGCATAATCCTCAGCTGCTCTAAGTAGTTCCACAAGTTGCACAGCAGCATCAAGTGCATCTGGAGCCCACGATGGCGGTGCTTCTAAAAGTCCAACCAGAAGTCTTTGGGTTGCACCTGGACTGGCAATTGCATAATACCTAAGAAGAATAAATGAAAAACTTAGAGTACCAGTTTTAGCTAGTTACACTACAATGAAGTGAGAGGTCCAGAAATTTACCGATGAAATAAACGAGCATAGGGCTCAAGAGCTGGTAGACCCGCAACAAGATGTTCGTCCATAGGTGTTGTTGGAGGAGGAAGTAGAAGTGCAGGAACAGCAGCTGCTGTTAAAGTAGCAGTCTCATAGCGAGCAACCTCCTCATCACAGACACTTAAGATAACACCAGCGCCATTAGCAACAGCCCACCTTGGAGTTGATGGCATGAGCTGGGGATGCTTTCCAGGTCCACGAGGAGCAGCTAACAGAAAATATATCCAAGTTAATTGAAGGTTTTCCTTGTCTCAATGTATATATCCTTGTCACTTTTGCATTAAGAACATAACAATAAGAGATTCCCTTTTAAGGCATAAATTCATGGTTTACATTCAAATTGAAATCAAGCTATACAAATAAAAAAGAATAAGTAGCAACATGACGAGATCCATGTTTAAACATAGAGAGCATTGAAATTTGACTAGTTTTGTTCTGGCAGATTAGAAAGAAATTGGTAAAATAAACAGCACCCGAAATATTCACAATAAAACTGGAAATGTTATTGTCTAACTGCCTGTGCTCATAACCTAGAAACACCAAGACAGCAAAGGAACCAACAGCCTTAGACTAAGCAAGTTTAAGTTGATTGTTCAGCGTAAATTCCATCAATAGAAAACAGAGAGTAGTTTAACTGGGTGCACATAGTACATAATACACTCCAGCTGAATTTTGATGATCTGAGAAGTGCTTAGGTATATGAATATCCAAACTGGCATTCTTGAGTCTCTTGTTTCGGTGTTCAAGATCATACTAAAGAGCTTAACAGATTTCTGGAAGCTCCTCTCTGATTGTAGCAAATGTCTACTTCTCAAGCATACAAGCAGCTAAAGCTGTTTCTATGAGGAATCTAATGGTGCTATGAAGATAAAGACAAGTGCTGTACACATAAAATTAAATAAGGATGTTCTTCTTTTATAACATATTTTTCCCTTCAGGCTGCATTTGGAGCTACAGGAAAATGGGCCTCATCAAAATCTTTTATAATACATACTTTAGTGACTATAAAATACCAACAGTGCCATAATATTAACAGAAAAGAGATAAAAAAAACATTCTCCGGTTTCTTTTTTTACATTAAATTTTTCATTTCAACAATTTAAGCCAGAAACTTCAGTTTTCTGCACTTCCACAATTAAGGGGTCTTTGCAACAGGAATGCTGAAATATGGGAGTAATGTTGTCAATGCTATCAACTTCAGCAGTCGTAGATAACCCACTAAGGGGGTACCAGAGATACCCAATCCACAAAGGAAATAAACCATAGCATCAAAGATAAAGATATCCTTCGATAATAATCTTTTTGGGGAGATAAAAGATGGATGCATAACTTATCGAGAAGATGACAATTTCCACTGAAAATAACCCACTTGCTAAGGTGAATAATACTGTTAGAGAGAAATATCTGTTGCAAGGATCTCGCTGAAGATGATAATCCTCAAGCCAGTTAAATAATTTATCACCGATAAATCATTAGACATATCAAAAGCGATAACAATAATAAAACTAATGGTGTGTGGGTAAGAAGGTCCAATTTGGTTCCTTCTTTTCACAATACCACCTCGAGCATAACTGTTAATAAGTTCAACTCTCCTCTGTGGAAGGTGTCACATGTCAACAAGCATGATGCAACAAACGTGAAGACGTATATCATGACATGTTGGGGTCACGTGTAGTGAGAGAATCATGTACCAACACCTTCCATAACCAAAGCACTCTTTTAAGGCTCTTATAGTGTAGAAGTCCAAAGGATGTCAAGAATGGTTCTGCAACACAGTTCCCACTGATAATGCTTTTCTGCAATGATTCTAGCATTCCTTTCAGTCCAATTCACACAAATCATAGCCAAAAACGCATCCCGATGAAGGATTCTAGAACTTTGCCTTGTCACATACCACAAGTCTGCATCAGACCTATAGCAGAACGTCTCACAAGAACACTAACTGATTCTGGCACTACTCCCAAGTCCCAACCAAATCATAGTCTAAACCATTTCAACTCTCCTCAAATGTGTTCAACCCTCGAAAAACCTCCACAAAAAAAAAAAAAAAAATCACTCATTGCTTGAAACAAAGCCGAAAACTACAGAAAGGGTAAACCCATGATTGCAACTCTCTGCAACTACAAAGTGCAGAGCATGCTAATAAGATGGTAATTATGGAGATGTGTCCAATATCACATCTTGGACAGTGTGTCATTCAATTAATGCATAAGGAATTCTGCAGACCTAAGTTTAGTTAGAAGACAAGTATTCAATCAAAACACTTGCTGATTAACTACATGGAATTTCAGCTCAAGCATTCTCATTCAACATTTTTGTCAACAGAGACTACACAACTATGGTAAATAATAAATAAATAAATAAAATAAAAATAAAATAACTCAATCTTAAACTGTGATACGCAATTCAAAGAACTAAAAAAACATACATAAAACAACAAAATTCACAAATTACGTTAATATACTCCAGAACAGAAACTCCACTTACCAATTGAAGGTGGCTTGAGTTCTCCTGCTGCATATTTTCCTAAAACACCACCACACCTGTTAATGCAGGATAAGTTCATGAGCTTCAGTAAGAAGGCCTCGTAGCACCAACTAGAAACATTAAAATATTCTGATTCCTCTTCAGCTTTGTTTTAGCAACAAAACATTAAATTACAATTTTAATCAAAACCACTCAAGTTTTTTTTTGTTAAAAAAAATCCCATTCCAAATCTCTTCTACCAGATCATGCTCATCTAAAATATTCAGTCAATAAACCCTAATCCAGATCCTAAAAAACTGATGACCCTCAAAGACCCAAGATCAATTCAGTATCAGAACAAATGGGAGAGTGCTTTACTCTCATTTTATACAACCACCATTCAAAATAGACCTTACAAATCTTCCTCATCTACATAAACTAATTAGAAGTCTACGCATAAAATATTAGCCATGTTTTTGAGGTTAATATGTTACCACTATCCTTCAATAATTCAGGTATCAAAAAAAAAAAAAAAAAAAAAAGGAAGAAAGCAAGCTTAGGTCATCATATTTGCAAATCGAGGCCTATACTCAAATTTTAGATGTAAAGAGAACATCTATAATAATCAGTTTTAAATTTTTTGATATGTATGACAGACATCCACATCCTAACCGGTGTTTGAACCCTCCAACTCCCACTATGGGGCGGTAGGGATCCCGCGCAAGCGAAGAGCTGAATAATTGTCTATTATCATCAATAAAACACAACATAATCCTCTGGACCTTTCTCTTAAATAAAAAATTGCATTTTATTTCCAAATTACTATCCTATCATACTGATGGTCATAGTCCTATTGCTCTCATCCAAGGTTTGTTACTAGACATGAAATGACATATGAGTCCACCAATGACAAGCACAACTGCTCATAGTTAGTAAGATAAGCGGTGCTAAGCTTTCAACAAGTGGCAAGCATGAATATAAGATGGAAGGTAACATCTATCAGGTTTGCAGTATCTATTATAACAAAACATTCTATCCCTTTCACTTTGAATCATGAACCCATTCAATTTTTCAGAGCTATCTTACGATACCAGCATGACTATTCAAGCTGGTCCAGTGTCCTATATATAAATAAAGTTTTAACCTGTGTAAATACAAAAAACATGTGATTCAACATATAACAAATAGTCAAAAAAAAAATTAAAAAATTTGCCTATCCGCAAGGATTACCAATGAAATAGTGTAACCTTTCTTACTAGCAAAACACCAAGCAATAAAAGAATACACTCACCAACGGAAGTAATCACTTCTAATACCCAAAGGTGAAGCAAGCAATATATCAGTAATCCAGGGAGACAATGGCCTTAACAGTTTCCTCTCGTGTAGTACAGGAGGTGAATGATAGGATTCCTTATCTACAGATTTGCTTGTGGTGGTCTGGCTCCCACTGCAGCTTCTATCTGCTTTACTGCACTGATGCTCAAACTTATAAATTGGGCGATTGTAAAGAGTTAAGATTCTTAAGATCTCTCCACATGCCATAGCCCACTGCTCAGAATACTCATTCTGTAGATCAAAAACATATTGTCAATATTAACTGTCCAATATTATTCATGGAGCAGATCACATGCTCCATTAAAAAATGGGAAATGTAAGAGAGATGTCAACCGTGGAAAAATAAGCATGGAATCCAAAAAAGTTAAATGTCAAATGCAGTTAAAGGAAAGTAAATGATGGAAATACAGTTCAGGTGTTTCCGTACCTCTCCACTTGGACGGACTAAGGAGATGAAAGAAGCAAATGGAGGAATACTCGGATCGTACTCCAGTGTACCGTCAATGATACAGGAAATAATAGGAAGAATGACAGCATGCCCATGCTCTGGATGGTGAAGAACAAACATTGCTGTAATTTAAAGATACATACAGAAGTCATTGTGCTGCTCCAACCAAGAAAAGAAGTATAATCTTTGAAATTAGGATTTAGAAGGGTGATTGAATTAATCAAAAAGGTGTGAAACACCATTACCCAAAACATCATCAAAAAGGCGTGTTTCCCTGGATGGATAATGGTTCCGGATCAGCTGTCAAAAAATATATATATCAATTAGCAGCATTTATTACAAGCATTTAAGTAGCCTCAACAAAATTAATACATAATTATTGTTGAAAGTGAGATTAGTTCAGCATCTATTCTGAATTCTACACAAAAAGAAAAACCAATTTAGATATAAACGCAAAATAAAATACCTCATCTAAATATTCTGGAAATTGTTCTGATGTGAACTGACCAAAATACTCAACATAGGCAGTAATTTGAGCCTAAAATGAGAGAAAAAGAAAGAAACTTCTGCATCATTAATAGCATGAATTTGGAAAGAGGTAGAAAGCTAAAAACAGGAAGAAAAAAAAAATATCAACTGAAAGAATAAGAAGATTCAAAACATCATGAGAGCTAACTACTTTGCCTCAAGGCAGAAACTATTGAATGTCATTGCCTTCATGCTATTAAGTATCATCTTAATAGAATGATTGAATGCCTGAAAGTGGGATTGGTTACTAAAGACTATATATACTTGAACACTTAAAGTGGACTACTTCTACACCTTTTTCCTGTATAACTCAACTCAATTCAATCCTTGAACTGCTCACCATGGCAGTTTTGGGAGGTTTTCTCTTTACCAACTTGATATCAAAAATACTTTAGAACACTGATCTTTGAGAAAAGGTATATACAAAACCAACTCTTGGCTATGTTGCTCAGGAGAGTTATACATGTAATTAGGTATTTAAACTGAATATATATATATATATATATGGACTTAAACACTCTCCTAAAGATTTATTTGAAATATATATGATGATCACATATATATATATATATATATATATGATGACATTGGTGACTGGAAATGTGTGGCAGGTATCAATTATCATAAAGTTCGCTTGAGCCAACGATTTTTATATGAAATTGTTAATGATACATCAACGAAGATTATTCTGATAATCAAAATGCTATAAATGTAGCATTTAGTCTCTCATAACAGAACCAAGCTGGCATATAGGGGTAGATTGCCATCTTTTTCCAGTTATGAGGAAATAAAATTATTTCAAACTATGATAAGTCCAATGGCCATTTAGATGACTCGTTTATTGAAATCTTTAGGAAAAGCAACTTCTATAAGTTATGTAACTACGCGAGCATGCTCGATATTTATGCTCCAACTTTGAGGGGTGCTGAGAGTTATACTTATAGTAGGGGCGAAATTTTAATTTCCTATTTATAAGTAAAGAGATTTAATAGAAGTTCCACATACAAACATTCAGACAACAGTTTGCAGAAACATGCATGTGTTGACATATATTACAGAAAGTTACACTAAAAACAGTTTCAGAGGCCATTACAGGTGTGATGGGTACCTCATACATTTTGAAGAACTTTTTTGAAAAAAAAAAAAAAATGTCAAGAAATTACCAGACCTTTCGTTGCTTTGCATCTTGCGGTGGGGGCCAGAATACAGAGGAGAATTGAAGACGGTCAATCCACCTTTCACATGAACTAGCCATATAAAAATCTTTGGGGCAAACCCTTTAGTTAAGCATGATGGCACCGGCAAGAAAAGGCATGAGCTTCCACTTTGACGGCTACCAATCAAGGATAAGAAGATTGTAATTCAACATCTTAAGTCCAAACAGAGCACTAGCCGAGCTTTCTCAACAAGGCACTTAACAAAAATGCATTGTTGTTATGACTCAGAAATAGACTTTTGCACCTCTCAGTCGCAAACTTTCCGAACTCAATAATTTTCCAGATAACATTTACTCTCCGTCGCACTGTGAAGTCACTGAAATAATCAATTTTATTAAAATTATGAATTCATTAAAAAAATGAATTCATAAAATGATAAATTAAATTACACTACTTTAATATTTTTTTTAAAGATTCCTAATTGGCTATAGTCCAAATTTGAATTCTATCAATTTGTAACTCCATTTTTTTGTCACAGAAATATAGGAAGTGAAGTTTCTAAGCAAACCATATGAAAACGTTCAAATAAAAGAAAGAAAAGTGCTTTAAAGCAAAATATTATCAAAATAGTACTGCTTTGTTGCCTATAAAACAAAAGGGGGAAAAAAAATCCAATTCTTGATTCTTAAAAAATATAAAAATTCACGAGAGACTAGCCCACTTCAAACAATTCACTGGAAAATCCAAAATTGGCTTGGAATCAATACAAATTACAAAACCAATGCTTGTCTGTTTAATTAAAGATGTTTATCAAAAAGTTTGAAACTACTTCAAAATGATAAAAAAATGGAATCACTAAAACTTCTGTTTGGTTCTTGAGAATATATACAAGAAGATAAACAACCAAGTTGCACTTATAATACCAACAAAAGGCAGAAAAAATAAATTAAAGTTGATGGTCTCAGTTGAATGTTATTGTATGCCTTCTTAGCTCTCACCAATGAGAATTCAAATGATTCATTTTCTTTTCTATATGAAAATTCACCATGAATCATCGACTCAGACGAAAAAAAAAAACACACACACACACACACACACACACCATAGATATATTGTAAAAAATATCTTAAAAAGAAAAAGTACCTGTTGGTTTATATGCCTCTGAAGCTATTAGAGATGGAACTTTTTCTGTGAAATTGCAAGATTGTGATAATAGGTTCGGTACTGTGATTGGAGAAGAGAATATTTTTCCGTTTGTAAAGATTATGAGTAGTAGTATGTATGATTTTGGGTGGAGAGAGGTTAGAGAGAGAGAGAGAGAGTCGAGAGGAAGAAAGTGAGAGAGAGAGAGAGATGTTTAGCTGCTCACGTGGCGATGATATTTTTCTGGTGAATGTCAAATTTATGTCAGATCTGTGATCATCATGCCATGTGCTATATATATATATATAGTATGTCCATCATATATTCATTCATATGCATCAAATAGTGAAGCATGGGAGGCAAGTACACTGTTAAAGTAGGTAAATTACCAAAATGGGCCTCAACACGTTGGATTAAAATATCTACCTTTTCCACCCTTGGCATTACTTAGATATTTTTGCAATACTAGGCGATTTGGTTCAGTTTGATTCGATCAAGTAAAACAAATTAATCATACTCAACAAGTGTAATATGGATGCGCCTTTTTCCCATACTCAATAAGTGGGAGGGAATGGAGCTATTTTTTGAGATTCTTCGGATATAAATTTTCAAGTTGTGATTTTTTGTCCGTTCCCAATTTTTAGTGTGACTATAGTTGAGGCTTTCTATTTTCGTAAAATAGTTTTGTGGGCGTTATCTGTCCCTTTTGCTCATGTTTGATTTGAATCAGACTTCTTAGTTGTGGTTAAGGCTGTTTTGGATATTGATCCAGGGCATGTAGACATTCATGTCATTTCCTTTGATATTTAGATGGCTCTTCGTTGGTTTGCCTCGACTCATCTTAGCCATATTCATAGGCATGGTAATGAGGTGACCAATGCTCTTGTAGCGCTTTCACGAAGTCATTTGCATCAGGATGTTGCTCTTGAATGCATTCCTCATGATATTCTTCTTTTAGCAGTTATGGATTGTATTTCTTAGGTTGTGCTGCTTGTTTTTGTTGTTTTGACGATGTTTGCCACGATAAAAAAAAAAATTAAATTAAATAAATAAAATAAATAAATTAATCATAATGAAGCAAGTTGATTTGTCGAAATCACTTAAGTCAAACTAATCACAATTGTATAAGATCAATTTGGATTGATTCAATTTCACAAATATTGAGTTTTATTATCCAACTAGTAGTTTTAATAATAGTTAGGTTTACTAAATTCAAGCTTAAGTTAAGGCCAATTTTGATGACCTTCATAAATTTTTGGCTCTAGTTCCTACTCAACAGTGCATTTCTAGTTTCTAAAATCAATATATATATATATATATATATATATATATATATATATATAACTTTTGTTGAATGTCTAATAAAAAGTTACTAAAAAAACAAATAGAGCTTTTTGACCACGACTAGATAAACTATATGAATCATATTCTTTTATTTTGTTATATCTAAAGTCATAGTCTCAGTCACATATTATCACATCATTTCTTGCTAACTCTACTCTGATTAATTTAAGAAAAGTTTTCATCTAATTAATTAAAAATAAATATATTTATTATGGTTCAATTTGGATTGATGTGTTTTTGTTTCATTCTCTCTGTTTTTTACCGCTAAATCGTGACTTAAATCGATCTTAACTGTTACACTACTTCTTAAATCAATATTGTGTTGTTGATCCACTTAACCAATGGGTTTAGTTTTACGTAAACCATAACTATGTGATGATTCGAAACTTTTAGGTATAAAACGACAATTATTTATTGACAAATAAGTAAGAGCAAATATTTCGACCAATGGCACCATGTGAATATTGTATATTTTGCACTCTCTTTTCGAAGTTCACGATTTTTTTCAAAATGTGTCTACAAAGTTAAGATACTCGTCCATACATATAAATGTCAGAAACTTCTCCCCCAGGTGATATAAAACGGGCAATGTAGGATGTGGGATCCAGTGTCCTCGCTACCCTAATCCACATGGCTTGTGCACGTTCCCCCATTTCTAGATGAGGATCGTTTTGAATACCATCTGTTAGGACCCTCCTCGCATAATGTACATATTGTTCGCTTTGCACATTCTCCTCTTGGTACTCATGATTTTTTTCAAAATGTATCTACAGAGCTTAAGTTAATGAGTCCCCATATATAAATGTCACGAGCTTCTTCTCCGGAGAACGTGGAAAGTCACAGCAAATATAACATCAAGCTCCTTTAATTGTCTCTCGCCCCTGTAGTAATTACATCAATATTTGTCATGATGTCTCTTAATCCATCCAATACAAAGAAACTTAACTTTTAGAGTGGTTAAGAATTTTTTTCTTTTAGGCTCCGTCTAATTGGATATAAAATATTTTTTAAAAAATATTTTTTTATTTTTTATTTTTTGGTGTTTGGTTGTCATAAAATATTTACAAAGAAAAAAAATATTAAAATTTAACGAAAATAATTTATCTAACAATTTTCGAGAAGTTATTTTACATGCCCCTCAACCTCAACCTCGATATAGACCTTTTTCAAACACCGACAAAGTAAAAATAAAAGAATATTTTACCTGAAAAAAAAAAAAAAAAAAATTCAAAAAGAATATTTTACGTTGAAAAAAATGGAGCCTAGCCCAACCCAATTTTGTTACCAGCTTTTAACTCGTTTTAAAGATTAAGGTTAGGCAAGGATTGAAAATTCCCAATATGAACATAATTGGAGTTGGGTTTCATCAATTGAAGTGTAAGACCCAAAAACAGGAATGTATTTCAAATATTTATCGATATATTTATAATTTTACACATTATATACATTTATAATCTTGACCATTTTCTTTTTTCCTTTTCTTTTAATATTGATTTCTTGTATCATAAATTTTTGGGAAAAAAATTCTTGTTAGTTTGTTATAATTTTTCACACACACACACACACATATATATTATTAAAGAGGAGTAAACCATCCAAGGACGGATTTTTTATTTTTATTTCTACATTAATATACCTTATTATTTTATTCATTTTGATATATATATATATAATTACACTATTACCCCCTCACACACAATTTTCTGAGTCAATCCCTGAAACCATCACAATGTTAATTAGAGATCAAGTCAATTTCTTCCCAACTATAACCCAATCTCAACCCATGTTACAAACATTTGAATATGGATTGAACTCTAGTCGATGAGTTTGTGTTATAAAATTGGGTAAATCACACTGACCTCCCTTGAAGTTTGAACAAATTACACAAGGATATAATGTTAGGCCTTTATTACTTGACCTCCTCTAAAAGTAGGGGTGAAAAATTATGACATGACACGACAACACGACATGAATATGGCACGAGTTAAAAAAGTTTGGGTTTGGCATAAACAGGTTTGGGTCATAAAAAGGTTGACACGATTAACCCGTTTACTTAATCGTGTCAGGTTAGGGTTGAGGGGTACAACCCGTTTATGACTCATTTAACTCAACAAATTATAATCGTGAATATGACCTATGTAATATATTACATATTTAAACCTAATATATTACATGATAGTTAAGTCATTTCAACATAAATCTTGTCTATACCTTATACTTTTTCTTTTTCTTTTGAATATTTGGGTTAATTATGACAATATTTTTCTATTATTTAGTATTTGATTAAATATTAAATGTCTCGTTTTGATAAATAGATCATTAAACGGGTTAACACATTTACATATTTAATAAACGGGTTAGGTTAGTGCCCAAGATTCTTGACACGATTAATAAATGAGTTGGGTTTGAGTTTATCTATTTAGTATAATACCCTTACATTGACATGACACGAGCACGACCCACGAATACGAATTGCTACCCTTATCTAAAAGTGTGAAATGTCTTTCACATGCTTATCTAATTTAATAATAGTTTCATAAATATATATAGGGCAAATTTCATGAAACCCCTAATACTATCAGGTTTTTTATCAAATACCCCCAACCTACTTTAGAAAACCCCCAGCACTATGAAAATTGATCATATTGCACCATGTTTGTGATAAAAGGACGAAACTACCCTTCTGATATACCAAATCAATTTCAAAAGTCAGAATATGTATTTAGCCAATTACTAAAATACCCTTGGCAACATTTAAGTCACCACAGCACAAAACAATGGTGTTTTTGCCATCATCCTCCTTCTAACACTCCTCCCTTCGTCTGTTGCCCTCAATTTCCTCTTCAATTCCTTCAATGCCACCGCCGACCTCAACCTCTACCTCACCGACGATGCTTGGCTCGAGTCCTCCACCATCAAACTCACCAACGACTCCAACCAGTTCTCAATCGGTCGAGTTTTCCACCGATCTCAAATCCCAATGAAACCCACTTCCAATTCCACCACCATCTCTTCCTTCTCCACCTTCTTCGTCTTCTCCATCTTACCGGAGATCAATTCCAGTCTCAGCTTCGGCCTTACCTTCGTCCTCTCCAACTCCACCTCACCCCCCGGTACCATCTCCGGCCAATACTTCGGCCTCTTCTCCAAAGCCACCGTCCTCACCGTCGCCCCCCTCCTCGTCGTAGAATTCGACATCGGCCAAAACCCGAAATTCAACGACCCATATGACAATCACAATCGGAATTGACCTGAACAAAATCGAATCGGAGGTCACAATTAGAGCTGGGTACTATAACTCCACCAATAGTAGTGATCCCATCCCTGTAGATATGCGAAATGGGCAGAACATACATACCCGGATTGAATTCGATGGATCAAATTTTGAAATCAACATCACAATCGCTCCAACTGGGATGGCTCGGCCTTCCCGGCCATTGCTTACCTATAGAGATCCAATTATAGCAAACTATGTCTACTTACCTACAGAGATCCAATTATAGCAAACTATGTCTTTGCAGATATGTTTGTTGAGTTCTCTGCTTCGAAAACCACTTTGATTGAAGCATAGAGGCTCCTAGCTTGGAGTCTCAGCGACACTGGTCTTGCCACAAACATCAACACTACCAATTTGTCCATTTTTGAGCTTCAATCATCATCCTCTTCGCTCTCTCCCAGAGCTATATTATATACACATATACATATAATATATACACACAAAATGCGGTCGTTTTGTGCTTTGATGACTTAAATGTCACCAAAAGTATTTTAGTAATTGGTAAAATACCTATTCCGACTTTTTTAATTGATTTAGTATATCAGAAGGGTAGTTTCATCCTTTTATCACAGACATGGTGCAATGTAATCAATTTTCATAGTGTTGGGGATTTTGTAAAGTAGGTTGAGGG